GACCATGCCACGATCCTGGTGTGTGTTACTCACCTGGCTGGCAATGGCTGAGAACTTGGCTACGTACAGAGTCTCATCGTAGGTGGAAGCACACTGGTTGATGTTGACAATCATGCAGGAGCGCCCGCGCCCGGTGAAGAATGCCTGGAACACGCGGGTCAGTTTGCTGTCCCGGAACGGAACCACCGCCTGCTTTGTCCTGTGGGAGAGACAGCAGTGAGCTGGGAAAGCAAAAAAAAAAACAAACCAAACCCCACACCCTCCCTCTGGAGGTGTGGATGCTCACCTGGCCTGCTGGTTCTGGCGGAGGGCGGCGATGCAGCGGCCCAGGGTGTGCAGGGAGGTGTTGATGTTGTTGGCTTCCTTCATTCGCTCCCCGCTTCTCTGGTCCTTGCAGCGCTCGGAGCCCGCCAGGTCACACAGGGATAGCCTGAGGGAAACACAGTGACATTCCCATCACTTACAGGGTTTGTCCTGCCACAGCAGGTTTACACTTCAGACACCCTGCAGTCACCATCCCAGCTTCCCCATAAGGGCACAGACCATTCTTTTGGGGTGCCTGGGCTGTTGATGGATGGAAGGGCCTGCCTTAAGTATAGGTGTTACACCAAGTAACAGCAAAATGAGCTTTGAAGTGTCAACTTCAGAGATCCTCTGCCAGTCCTCAGAACAGACACTTTCCAGATAAATACATCCCAGGAGCAGGCACCAGCAGCACTCAAATCAGCCCTGCTGCAAAGGTAATTTACCTTCACTCAAAAAGCCTGAGAACTACTTCAAGTTGTACCTTGCAGTACTCCTCAAACTCTTGTCCGTTCCAAGACTTAACATTGGGAGCATTTATTCCTTCCAAATACTTTCAACAACACCATCATAAAGATACTTCCCATACCCCAGGCCCTCAACCAAAGAGACAAGAAAGTTGAGATTACACCCAAATCCTAAAAAACATGAAACTTACTCGCTGATTTTGGGAACAACTTCACTGCTACCTCTTTGCAAGTGCAGAATCCGAATGGAGAACACACTGTGACTGTAAAGAAACATGCAAATATTAAAAAAAAAAATTAACTTTAAAAGCCCCTCAGAATTATATTTCTGCCTAAACAATCCCTCTCCCTTCAGACCTGCGACTGGAGTTCTGGTTCATGTGGGTGCTGGCAAAACTCTGGTTTTTCCGACCCAGTTTCAGGAGCTTCCAGGCCTCATCAGCATCCCGGACATTAATCCAGTTCAGGTCTGGAAAGCAAGCATGCATTGGGCACAGCAGTTGGGAGACTGGCAGAAAACTTATCTCAGCCCCAACTTCACCATTACATTTCCCTGACATCAACAAATTTGACGATCCTGTAATCCTGACATCAGAGCTCTCTGTGGGGCTGTCCAGCACATCCCTGCTAAGCCACCCACCCACTCAGTGCTAAAGCCTTCCCAGCAGGCCACCAAACCTCTGCTGCAGGCAAACCTACCTTTCACATAGGGGTTGCCAGTCTGGTCCTCGCAGAGCCGCAGCGTTTGCCGCTTGCGGTTCTGCCCGGGTAGAGCTGGTTCTAACAAGTCATAGATTAACTCATTGTAGATCTCAAAGAAAGAGACCCAGATGGAGAACTGCACATCTCCTGTGCTGGGGAGTGAAATGCGATCCAAGTCAGCCCAGCAAGGGCCCAGTTCTGAGGAAAAAAAGGAAGAAAAACAAATAATGACTGCAGCTTTTGGTGAGTCCAACCAGAATGGTTTAGCTCTAGAACAAGATGCTTCCTTCAGCAAGCAAAACCACCCCAGACACAAACCTTTTTATTTACTTCCTCCCATTTGTATCTATTCTAATGCCTGTCTCCAGTGAGAGAGCCTAAAGTTTCCTTTACTAAACAGTATCACCTGCTCTGTGTAAGGACTTTTGTATACTCAATTTTGATTCCAGAATTACAAGATATTTCAAATATGAACTCCTTCCAGCATAACTGAAGTTTTAGTCTTTCTTATCTCAATCACTCTATGCTTCTGGATACCTAAGTAGCTGGTAGTTCCTGGCTTTGATAAAGCACAAGTGCTTAGTGCAGCCTGTCACTTTGGCATCCTACTTCCCAGCAATCCCCATCTCACAGCAATCAGCTACTCAATAACCACATTCCTTGAATGAAGTGAGTGAATGTCAAGCAATTTTTCATTGCACAAGGCTTGGTTATTATGGAGTGGTGAATTCTTCTGATATTGGCAAAATATATGCACGGAGTTCTTCTGATGTGGCATCTTTCAAAGGGAAAATCTGAGGCTACAGCACCTTTGCTCCCTTACCCACAACACAGCATCCAAACAGCAATCACCCTTTTCTTCCCCCATCCTCCAGCAGAAAGAAGCAGGTAGTACACAACAGGCTTCCAGAAATACCTTCTGTCTGGCTGAGGTCTGAACGGTTGGTGAGCTGGCTGGATGAAGACAGACCAGCAACTCCACTGTCAAAACTGCCACTGGTGGTGGCCTGGAGCTGAGATTCAGCACTGTGACTCCTCTTCAGTGGCGTCAGCAGCTCCTCCTTGAAGGAAACAGAGAACAGGAGCATGCAGGCAGCGTGACACCCCCGCTTTCCTCTTGCTACTGAACCCCCAGAGGCCCCGTGCTTACCTCCCAGAGCCCCCTCTGCAGCATCATCTGCTTCTTGGTCTCCTCCTGGCGCACCTGCCTGCTGTCCAGCCAGGTCACCTCGTTGGAGAGGGCAGGCTTCAGGTCCATGGCCTGGTACAGCCGGTCCCCCACGCTGTTGAAGATGGTTGCCAAGGAGCGAGGCAGAATCCCCCCATCTTGGGCAGTGCCTGCAGCAAGAACAGCAGCAAAGCTGAGGATTCAGAGGCAGAAGACAGAGAACAATTCCTTCAAGAGGCCCCACAACACCTGGTGCTTTCCTTACCCTGAATGGTGTGAGTCTTTCCTGAATTGGTGATGCCATAGGTGTAAACCAGACAGTTCTGCCCACTCAGCACATCCTTTACCACCTGCTTCATTGTCTCCTCAAAGAACAATTTCTGCCCCACCTCTGGTCCAAAAATCTGCAAACAAGACACAGGAAAAATGGCTTCATGTAGATCTTTCCTATCCTTTGCTGATGGTTGCTCAAGTGATATTACATGGTCCTTTGTTCCCTGCACTAGCCATGGGCAGGGGACCCACCAGCAACAGCTCCCTACAAAAACAAACTGCTCATTTGTTTAATCCAATAACACATCACTGCAGCCCCTAGTCCATTTACAGCCTCATGAACAGGAGTTTGACATTTGCTGCCAAAAAAAGAGTTGTCAGAAACAGCTTAGAAAGAAAAAAAATTAATAAAACAGCAACTAAAACCTGATGTAACCTGATTGTATGAGACTGCAGAGTTCAGGCAGTGCCCTGGGTTCAGTGGATGTGAACAAGGCTGCTTTTCAAGCTGCAGGGCTGGTTGAAGCTCAAATCACTTCCAGATGGGTTGTTTGTCCCAGCCACCTACCCGGGTGAAGGAGAATCTGTGCACTGCTTGTCCCACTCCTCGCTCCGTGCTCCGCATGGTGAAGGAATTCTTTGGAGCTTTTAGAATAAGGGTTTCTGAGTTCTCAATACAGACACAGCCCTAAAGAACACATAAAATCCATCATTGCAGTGGCTTACAGGAGGATAGACAGCATCTCCCAGCAGGCACACAGCCAGCTCAGAGTCTGCTTCATTCAGTGTCTCACCTGGTCTTCCCCCTTTTCTACTTCTGTAGATTTCAGAGGTCGAACTCTGAGGTAAACCTTTAGTTTTCCATTATTGTCTTCAGCTACAGCCTGCAAGAATCAGCACAAGTTAAATATGGCAGCCAGAGAGGCAGCACACAACCCCCCATGGGAACACTTAGCAGAAACCACAATATGAAACACACGTGTTGGCTATGCTGCTAGTGCTGAGGAATTTCTCTGCTCCCAAAATCACCAACACTGCCAGGCTTCCTTAGGCATTTCCAAACACACCAGCATTTTTTTGTTTGCTTGTTTATCTAATGGATCAGACCAACAAGCCAAAGGCCTAACACCAAAACCAAGCATCACCCCAAGAGGCACTTGCTGCCCACTGCTCTCCCTGGAACTGCTCCCCACAAATGCAGCATTTTGTTACTGCCTCTTCTGAAGAGTCTCTGTTACTTCTGCATCTCACCACCTTGGTACAGAGAACAGCAGCCACGAGTGAAAACGCTGCCCTGTTTGTGACAGAAGAGCTCCAACCTGACCTGAGAGCCCTCGAGGTTTGGGGAGATGGCGGAGAACTCCGGCAGCAGGTCCTTGCGCAGGTCAGCCCCAAAGCCCGCTGCTGTGGACTCGAGCACGGGGGAGGCTGCAGCCTCATCGTCAGAAAACAGCCCCGGGGAGGCGAGTGCTTGTGCCATGGTGCCTCACACGGCTCCTGGGGAAAAAGGAGCACAGGCCAGGGTGATGTTACAGCAACCCCCTGCACATCCCCGCGTGGATCCCTCCCTGCACACAGGACGCTGCTTGCAAATACACACATACACACCCCCCTGCGCACGGGGAAACCTCCAGGACCCCGGACACAGCCCGTGCACACACAAACACGACCCTGCACTCCGAACCCCCCTCCTGGACATACGGACACCATACAGGCGACATGCACACAGACACCCCTTTAACACACGGTACCGAAAAGACCTAATGCACACACCAACCACCACACAGGACACCCCCGAGCCGCCCCCACACACACACAGAGCCCAGCACCACGCGGGTCTGGCCGCACGCACAGGGACCCACGGACACCGCCGGCCGCCCCTCACGCCGCTCCGGCCCCGCTGTCCCTCACGCCGCCCCTCGCTCGGCGTTTCAAACCTCGCCGCCCGCCCGCTCCGCCAATGGGAGCACGGCATGAGCGTCCTTCGACCAATCAGCGCCCGCTCTTTGGACGGAGTGGGCGGGGCCCGGGCAACGGGCCGCCCGCGCGCGCGCGCACACGGCGAAGGGGGCGTGGCAGCGCTCGGCCGCCTCCCGGCGGGCTTTGCGCGCGGTGCCGCCCCTGCCGCCCTCCGGGCCGGGCGGGGAAGATGGCGGCGGGGCCGGGGAGTGAGTGCGAGGATGGGCGGGAAACGCGGCGGGGACCGAGCGGCGGCGGGGCTGGGGAGGAGAAGGGGCAGGGGAATGGCCCGAGGAGAACGGAGCGGTTCCGGAGGACCTTCCCGGAAAGAGCCAACGGGGCCGCGGGGCGGGGCGGGGCCAATGGATCCGGGGAGGGGCGGGGCCGAAGAGTCCGGGAGGGGCGGGGCCAGCCGCGGAGCCGCGGGTTCGAGGCCGGGCGCTGCCCCCGCACACTCCTGCCCTGTCCCGCAGAGCACAAGCTGCTGAGCGCCGGCCCCACCGAGCCCTGGTCCATCCGCGAGAAGCTCTGCCTGGCCTCCTCCGTCATGCGCAGCGGCGACCAGAACTGGTACGGGAGCGGGGAAGGCGGGCGGCGTGTGCTCAGCACCGGGGCTGGCACCGCGCTGCCTCCGTTCGGAGCGAAAACGCGCTGTAAGAGGTGTTGAAGGTGTACCTGGACAGGCGCTTTGTTGCCTTCATAACTGCTGTGTGAAAGTAGAGGTGTGTGCATCAACATAAAGAGCGATGAGAGCTGGAGAGGGAGTTTGGACAAGGATGTGGAGTGTCAGGATAAGGGGGAGTGGCTCAGACTCACGGAGGGTAAGGTTGGAGATTAGGAAAAAGTTCTTTACAGTGAGGCTGGTGAGGCACTGCAAAGGGTTGTCCAGAGAAGCTGTGACTGCCCATCCCTGGAAGTGTCCAAGGCCAGGTTGGACAGGGCTTGGAGCAGCCTGGGATAGTGGAAGGTGTCCCTGCCCATGGCAGGGGGTTGGAGCAAGATGATCTTTAAGGTCCTTCCCAACCCATTCTGTGATTCTGTGTTCATAATTAGATGAGGTGAGTTGTGGACAACAGAGATTTTTGGTAACAGATTCCTGTGCACTGAGCCCATAGCTCTGTTTTACTGTATTTTTCTCCTCACTAAAGTAAGGGTTTTGTGGAAATGCAATCACGTAACCAGATGCAAGAAACTTGCTTTTCAAAGCAAAGGAGTGAAATCACTGTACATTAGAAGCAGGTAGATATTTTTGAGACTGGTAAAACTCCTTGGTGAGTTTATCATGTTTAACAGGGCTATTCAATGATGTAAAGAGAGGTTTTCATCTTTTCTCTGCATGTTGGTTGGGGGAGAAGGTAAGTTGATGGTGACTTGCCATTTCCCTCCCACAGGGTCTCAGTCAGCAGAGCCATCAAACCTTTTGCAGAGCCAGGACGCCCACCTGACTGGTTTTCCCAAAAGGTAAGACACTGACATTTGACTCTTGGACACCAAATCTCTGCACAGTTGGAAAAGCCGTATTGAGGATGAATTTAGGATTAATTGTTCCATGCTTTATCCAGCACACAGTTACTAACTGAAGAGTTCCTTCACCAGGCGTGTGATTAAGCTGTGAAATTCCTTGCCTTGGCAATTTGTGGATGTCCATGTGTTTTGGTGTGCCCTGCTGTTTGGGCAAGCAAACCATCCTCTGACTTCCTCTGTTTCTTCTCAGCACTGTGCATCTCAGTACTCAGAGCTCTTGGAGACCACGGAGACCCCGAAGTGAGTACAAAGTCTGACCCAGCACAGCCTGCAGCAGCTGGGGGGCACTCGTGGGTTCTTACAGCAAAGTCCTTGTCACTGTTAAATTACTTTCTTCCCCAACCAACTCTTCCCAAAAGGAGCATTTCAGAATGAGAAAATTCAGATGCAGTAGCTGTTGTGGGACAGTGGGATCAGGGTTTGTGACATGGGAAAGATAATATTTATTTGGCTGGAATAAAACACTGCATGTTAGCCTTACTGATCAGAACCTTTACACATAAATTTGTCATTCAGAATAGGGGTAGAAAAGAGAAGGACTGAGAAGGGAGATAATTTGTATTTGTCACTATTTTGCAGTGGTTTCTTAACAGTTTTCTTATCAGTGTTGTCACTGCAGCTCTGTGATATGAGTATTTACTGCTCCTAATTCCAGGCATTTTCTTTGGGGACTTCACACAGTATTAACTTAAAGATGGGGTTTAAAAGTAATATTTGTGTGTGACTGATTTGTTTTTAAATGATCTTCAGCACTAGAGTTGCAGAATTAAAGGGCTTTGTAGAGTTAGTGAAGAAAAAATAGATGTTTCTTCTTGGGGAGAAAAGAATTCTCTCTTGAAGTGGAAAGATTATTTTCAGGTTGAGAACTTTTGGTGGACTTGCATCTTTGATCTGTTCCTGAAGATTTTAACACTGGGTGAAGTAGCAAAACTTTGCTGATGAGATTGTTTGAACATTGTGCTGTCCAACATGACTTAATGCAATTGGAGGAAATTGATTTTTTTTTTTTGGCATGAGCATATCATTTATGGAAGAGGAACTGAGTTTTCTTGTGGTTTGTGTCTGAGTTTTTCTTTCCTCTTATTCTGTAGAAGAAAACGTGGTGAGAAGGGAGAAGTTGTGGAGACAGTGGAAGATGTTATTGTGCGGAAACTGACTGCAGAGCGGGTTGAGGAGTTGAAGAAAATTATTAAAGAGACACAGGAAAAATACAGGTACATGACAGGTTTTAAAATGTTGCACACCTGAGAGTCCTGTCCTCAAAAAGTAGTCCAAGTGGGATGGTGATTGGGGTGAAAATGCTGCTTAAGGTGTCCAGTTCAGTGATCAAAATGTAAAAAGATTTTATGATTACAGGCAACTCAAGAAGGATGCAGAGCTGATCCAGGCTGGACACATGGATAACAGACTGGAGGAGCTGTGCAATGAGATCATGATGTGGGTTATTTCATTATTTCTTCTGAGATTGTAGTTTCCTGACACTCTGTTTGTCCAGCATCTCTTGCTCCACATAGTTTGGGTTAAGAGAAATGGGGCAGCTGGGCAGATGCTTTGGTCTCTGAGGGGGGACAGCTTGGGCTGGGGGATAGCAGCTGGTGTGCAACGTCCTTTGGAGTTGCTCAGTAAAGAGCTTGGCCATGGCTTGCAGAACCATGTTTGCTGCCTCCATTCTGACAATCATCTGGAAGTGAAATTTCCTGCCCACTGTGTCGTTCTCTGGCTCTGCTGCTCACCCTGGGGGAGTTGAGCCTGAGTCCACAGGAGTGGTTTGATGTTGTCTGGAGATAACAGGGTGGGTGTCAGTAAAACACATTTTGAAGGGGGAATTAAGGGGAACTGAGACACCCTGTGACAGGAGGTTTTTGTTCTGTGTACAGAAAGAAAAAAATGGAAGAGGAGGAGGCAGAAGTGAAGAGGAAGGCTACAGATGCTGCTTATCAGGGTAAGCTGGAAATGAGGTGCCTTCATTTTCCTCAGACCCATGCATATATTCATAAGAACACTTAGAAAATACTGAAGTCTTGTTAAGACCTGCAGGAGAAATTCCTTAACTCTAGAGTTGGAGGGTGAGGCTGTATTCTCTTTCCAGCACTGTATTTGTGACAGGGTAAAAGGCAGAGGCTTCTGAAAAGGGAATAAAATCTTTAGGAAAGGAGTATCCAAGAGAAAGCAGGGTTTGTAAGGAGCTCTGTGTTAGAATGTCATCCTTTCCACACCTTTAGTTTCCCCTGGACACTGAAGATAAGAGGAAGAAACTTTTATTCTGAATGTTTAGTTCTTCATAACTCTTGGGGCATTGAATTTGGTGGTGGGAGGTGGTGAATCCCCAGCTGCTAGAGAAACCTGCAGCTGAAGTCCATTACCCAAAGTCAGTATTTTGGGAACTGAGCCTGGTGGGGTGCGAGAAATTCCTATAACATAAATTGTTCTCTTAAAATTCTTCAGGATAAAGTCAAAGGTAACTCTTGGGGACCGTCCACGATGGAGTCACAGAATCTCACTGCAGCTTCTGTTCTCTTCCAGCTCGCCAGGCCATTAAGAACCCACCTCGAAGGCTCACGGGGGTGATGGTTCGTTCTCCTGCAGGCTCCACCTCCCCGGGCGGGGATTATTCCCTCGGAGACCTGGCCCAGCCCGCTGGGGACGAGCCCAGTCCAGGGGTAAGGATCCTGCTCTGGGCAGGAGAGCAAGCCCAGCTTGGGACGTGGGGCTCTGCATCCATCTCAGAGAAGGGGCCTGGGGAGAAGCCCTTGCCTTGCTTTGCAGACTCCAGGTGCTGTAGTGTGGCTGGTGGCAGTGCTGCTCGAGATCCGTGTCCCCTTCCCTGTCTGTGGTGATCCGGTGCCTGGATCAAAGGCCGTGTAGGGGCATCAGTGGGTTGGCCAGGCAGGCTGTGAGTGCCTGGGAAGTGGCTCTGCAGGGCAGGGAAAGGGTGAAAGCACATGCCTGGAGTAGGGGCAGCGAGTGAATGGAGTAGGTGTCTGTGGTGTGCTGGATCAATGCTCTTGGGGGAAGCAGCAAGTGGGGCTGGTCCGTGTGGTGGAGTGTGCCTTTGAACAGTGTGGTTTTTCTCTTTCTCAGGTCACGCCAGGGACATTGCCCAGCACCCCAGTTGCCTCCTTCATTGGAATCCCTGACACCCCTCCAGGCTCTGCTCCCCTGGATGCCCCCATGACCCCAGTCACTGATGATTCACCCCAGAAAAAGATGCTAGGACAAAAAGCAACTCCGCCTCCTTCCCCTCTGCTCTCAGAGCTGCTGAAGAAGGGCAGTCTCCTGCCCACAAGCCCCAGGCTGGTATGGAGCTCTCTGCTCATATATGCAAGCACACAAACAATTTGCTCCAGGCTTTCCCACTGAAAAAGGGGGATCTGCAAAGAATTTTTAAAAATGTGCAGTTTTGTGAGAGTCCCAGCAGAAGTGATAATCTGAGAGGTATAAATACCCCTGTGAGCTGCAGAGGTGAGCCCCTTTCCCAGCAGGACTGCAGGGCTCGTGCAGCACGTAGGACTGGCTGTCCCCTCAGTCACAAGGAGTTGGAGTTGCAGGGTTTGCTAGAGGAAAGAGTTCTCCTCAGGGAAGGGAACCTGTCAGTCAGCATCATCCCCATCAGCCTCCATGGTGTTCCTGGTGATTCCTACACTGGGCTCACAATTCTTTACACCTTGTCAGGAAGTTGTGTTTCAATATTTTTAATGTGTACAAGAGTAGGTAATCCTTGGATGGCATTTATGACCTGTACAGAAGTGCTTCAGTTTTCTCCTAATTGTAGACAGCTACTAGAATCACTGTGATGAGAATCCACTTGTGGTGTTAGTGACTTGGGAAGTCTTAGGAGATGCTGACACTGTTCAGAGCCCAGTCTGAAAACAGCAGCCATCAGCCTGCCTGTGACACAGATTCCCTGGGTTAGTGCTTGTGTGGTGGAGTAGGTGTGTTGCTGTTGACTTTTTTCTTCATAATAGTCAGATTTAGGGTTTTTTCTATTTGTTAGCTCAGGTAAATGTTGCATGGATTTTGTGTTTGCAGGATGTAACATAAAGTGGAGCAGGGTAAGGTAATGGCTGTGGAAGGCTGAGTTTTCCCTGTAGGAGCAGGACTGGTTTTGTCTGTTTCAAGGTCCATCATAGGTTCACTGTGTGACCTTGATCAAGTTACTTTTCATCTTGGTACTTCTGCTTCTCTCAACTCAAAATGAAGGATATTTCTGTGCCATCTCAGGGTCTAGAGAGACTCATATGTGTAAAGGATTGTGAGGTCCTGGAACAGAACTGTGAGAGAGCAAATGGTGCACTTGGCCTCACCACAAAGGAAGGTAGCACTGCAGCTGTGTTACAGCTGAAGAACAGCAACAGTTTCACACTGTTCTGCACTTGTGTGAGGGGCCTCAGGCAGGGACGAGCCTGAATAAAAACTACAGAAGAAATGCTGGGACACCAGATGCTGGTCCTGTTCATGGAGGTGCACATTGGCAGAGAATCACTGGTGTGGTGGTATCTCCAGGAACTTGAGTCTCATCCTCCTTTGACAGGTCGGTGAAAACGAAATGGCAGTGGCTTCTGGTCACATGAACAGCTCTGGAGTGCTGCTGGAGGTAGGAAGTGTCCTTCCAGTGCTGCACAGTGGGGAAATGCAGTCAGCACCTGGTGCTGTCCCTGCATCTCCAGCAGCTTCAGGTAACTCGGGCCTCTCCCTGTACAGTTCTCCCTTAAGATGTACCTTCAGACTGTTCTGTGGATTTTCCTGGGGGAAAGATGATGTCTACCTGGCTGGTTTGGGGACTTCTCTATCAGTTGTATTCCTATTTCCCTGTTCATCTCACCCCTACTTTTAAAGAAGACCCTAATCCTTAAAAGAGTGACTGAAAGAATTCGGTTTGATCCAGTCCTGATCCATGCAATCTGGTTTTCTACCTTTGGCACTGGCTAATACCAGGCATCGGAGTTTAGAAAGAAAGGGTTTGTTCACAGGGATTGGGGGAAAAATGGTCCAGATCTGATCCCCAAAAAATTTCCATGCAAGTGATCTTGCTTTCCTTATTCACATCTGGCTGTTAGTTTGGTCCAGACAGTTCAGTAAATTCAGACTGGAAGTTACAGCTAAGATGAATGGCAACCTTTGCTGTAAGAGGAATTCTCCAGGAAAAACCTGCAAGGAAATCCCCTCTGCTCCCTCCCAGCTCCTGTGACGACTGTTTGTCTTGGCTTACCTTGTGTGGCTCTCTCAGCACTGTTTTGCAGATTTCCCATAATTGTTTTGGGATGAGCCTTTGGAAAGGCATCTCTGTGCATGTGTGGCTTAGTCTGTCCAGCCCTCACAGTGAGTGCAGTGTTCTGTAGCTGCATGATTCTGCCTCAGACTGCACACACAAGCGGAGTCGTGCATTTTTTGGTGCAGGTTCTCTGTACAGCTTTTGGGACTCTTTATAGGTATCTTTTCCCAGAAGAAGCCACCAGACAGCGAAGAGCCCAGTGGTGGCTTTGTGGACTTCAGTGGTGGCTGCTTCTTGCTCATGTGCTTTTCCCTTCTACTCTCTGTTAGGTGCTCCTACGCTTTCCCGGCTTTTAGAAGCTGGTCCTGCACAGTTCACCTCACCTCTTGCTTCCTTCTCCGCTGTTGCCAGCGAGCCTCCAGCTAAGCTCCTGCCACCCCCCGTAGAGCCTGTGTCCCAGGCCACTATTGTCATGATGCCCACGCTGTCAGCACCAGCCGTTGTGCCTCCAGCTGCAGCTGCAGAAAGCGTAGCCACAGGTGCGTTCCTGACTACGCACTCAGAGGTCACGTCCTGCTGGAAAGCAGAACTTCCCGTGGGATCAGCGCCCTGCGAGCTCTCAGCTGGGCTTTGTCGCCTCAGGCTCGCCGTCCTGGCCAAAAAGGATGGTTGTGGCTGGGTTCTGGAGCAAACAGATGGTTTTAAACAGGGTTTGCTGGGTGTGGGTGGGGTGCTGGTGATTTGCTGGACTGCGGTTCAGGGGTTGGAATCTCACTTTGCTCTCCTTTGGGAAAGCAGACCTGTATTGGTGTTCTATTATTCTAAGCTGTGGTGGGGTCGATGGGCCTGGGATACCTGTGGTTGGTGCTTGGTCTTACCCACTGCAGTGTTGGTTTATGTGGGGACTTCTCCAGCTTGGTCTCTGACTGTCCCTCTCATCCCTGTGCAGTGAGCCAGCCAGAAGCCTGTGTTTCCATGGAGGCAGTGTCTGATTCCCATACTGTGACAGTGTCCATGGACAGCAGTGAAATATCAATGATCATTGATTCCATCAAGAAAGAGTGCCTGGGTTCTGGGGCTGGCAGCACTGCAGGTTCTTCCAAAGATCACTGCATGGATGGGAAAGAAGATCTGGATTTGGCTGAAAAAATGGATATTGCAGTGTCCTATACGGGGGAAGAGCTGGACTTTGATACGGTTGGAAATATTATAGCCATCATTGAGGACAAGGTAAATGGGGAAAGCAGAGTCCCTTTTGCTCCACATTCAGTTGGGTTAATCTCAAATGATTGCTGTTCATCAATTTAGCTTAAACAAGCAAGAAATAACTATTCCAGAATGCACATTCTCACCATCATTTTCCAGATGAACGGGAAAGGACACCACTGCTGCCTGTGTGACACTGGTGCTCCCTTTCAGAGTACAAAAAGAAATGTCTTTATTCCTTGGAGGGTAGGGTTTGGGTCATGTCTCTGGCAGACAGCTGAGCACTGCTCACAGAATCCTTTCCAGGAGTGCCATATTTTTGAAACTGAAGCTTCAGGAGAAACAGTCACAGGGAGTGATAGAAATCTGGCTGAAAACAGGCAACTTTGTAAATGGAGTAGACTGGGATTTCCACAATTGTCTCAGTACCAAATAACATGAACTTTTCTTTAATCCCTCTTTCTGACCCCGGCCTGCACTGCTGTGTTTGTTTTGACAATAAAGGTAGATGACCACCCTGAAGTCCTGGATGCAGCAGTTGTTGAAGCTGCTCTGTCTTCTTTCTGCGAAGATACTGATGACCCTCAGACCCTTCCTGGCCCGTGGGAACATTCAATTCGTCAGGAGCATGAGAAACAGGCCCAGATGCCACAAGTGTCTGTGACTGTGAAGCAGGAGAGACTGGAGTGTGAGGAGCCAGAGGCAAAGGGAATTCGAGACCTGATGGGCATCAGTGAGCTGGGGTCAGAAATAAAGACAGAACTTGCAGAGCAGGACCAGAGTCAGCTGGGCCCTGAAGAAACCATACCAGCAACTGCAAGAGTGACAGAAACTCCAGAGCTTAGAAACCAGGAGATAGAAGAAGATCAAAGAGCAGCTGTAACATCAGGAGAGACTTCTGAAATCAAAATAGAGTCATCCCAGGGAGAAGATGCAGTGCTCAATCCAGTGAAGACAGAGGTATGTGGTCACAGAGGCTGCCTGGAACTGGTGTGGGGAAAGAGAGGAGCAGTTGTGGCAGGTAGGAGCAAAGTTCAGAGGAAGGATGAGTGCTGGCTTGAAGTGACCCTTCAATGAATGTGACTGACTGTTTTCCTGGGAGTCAGGCTGCTGATGTGCAGAGCAGCTCTGCTTTAGGCAGTACCTTTGTGTATCTCCCCCCACCCATGTGCAGAATTGCTGCTGGGAAGGTGCCCAGTGAACCTCATTGCCTGGAGTTAGGTTAGGGTGAGTGAGATGTGCCCACACCTTCACTGAAGTAAGCTGACACAAACATCTAGATTTGTGCATTTCTCTTCCCTCCAGACCCCACCTGATGATGATTCATCCCCTCCACAAGTCCCAAATGTGAGTGAAGACTCCTCACAGGCTGATGTTCAGCACAAATTTGAGCTGTCAGGTAACTTAATTCAGCTAGGAAATCTTTTACATGCAACATTATTAGCTGGATAGTTGTTAGTTATCTGGTTCAGTATTTTTGGGGAGGAGGGAGAAAAGATACCTGTAGGAACAGTGGTAATTACTGCAGGACAGTAGGCGTTGGTGCAGGAGCTTTTGTAGGAAAGGCTGCTTGGGAGAATCAATCTTTATGCATTTCTTTCTTTCACAGAATCAATGAAGGAGGAGGCCCAAGCCCTGTTTAGGAGTCAGATGAAGGTAATTCCCTGTTGGTTTTAGTCATCTTGAGTTAATTAGCAACATCTTGCTGCTGCTGTCTGCTGAAAGGCAAAGCTTGTATTGAGCTTTCTGCACTTTGAGCAGTCTGCAGCTGAAGGGGAGATGGCTTCAGAATGTAAAGGTGTTTATGTATGTGCTTCTGGGTCTGTGGGGACAAGCAGGGCAGGCTGGAGAGACTGGGATTTTGTGGAAGTGCCTGTACAGTTGTCAGCAGCCTCACAAGAAAGTCACTTTGCTGACAGAACCGTAGTTGCTTTGGAGGCGCTGAGTGGCTGCTGTAGCCAGCTGATGGACTCTGTGTTTCAGGATGGACAGGGTGAGGAGGATGATGAGGACGGTGCCAGTGAGGCTGCCAGTTTGGAGGAACCCAAAGAAGAAGACCAGGGGGAGGGCTATCTCTCAGAGATGGATAACGAGCCCCCCGTGAGCGAGAGCGACGACGGCTTCAGCGTCCACAACGCGCCCTTGCAGTCGCACGCGCTCGCCGACTCCATCCCCAGCAGCCCGGCCTCCTCGCAGTTGTGAGTGTCAGGGCACACAGGGACTGCAGCATTCCCATTTCTGCCTTGCTGAGTGGGTCCTAAGGGAGAATTTGTTGATGATTTGTGTGGTTCTTGCTTACAAGGGCAAGTGTGCAGACAGCACTCCGGTACCAGCTCCCACTTTTTCCTTCTGTCTTTGGTGTGGATTAGCACGGGCATGTCAAGGACAAAACAAACCATGAGTTTTCTGCTCTGAGGCAGCAGTCAGACTCCTGAAGGAATTATGTTCTTCTCTTCCCAGCTCAGTGTGCAGTGAGGACCAGGAAGCAATACAGGCTCAGAAGATCTGGAAGAAAGCCATCATGCTGGTTTGGAGAGCAGCAGCTAATCACAGGTGAGTTTGATGTCTTGGCAGAAAGAAGTGACTAATCCTAGACAAGTCTCCACTCTCCCATCTCAGAGGCTTATCTCTCTTGGGAGATGATGAGTCATATTGTTACAAACAAATGAACAGGAGAGCATGAAACAAATATTTACCAGCAAGGACAGGCACTGAGTGGACTCTTTTTCTCTGCAGGTATGCCAATGTCTTCTTACAGCCTGTAACCGATGACATAGCACCAGGCTACCACAGCATCGTGCAGAGGTGAGTCTCAGCAGCCTTCTGTCATCAGAACTCTGTATGCTTGCATATTTGTAGGGATTTCTGGCAGGAACAATGTTGGTTTTGCCTGCTGTGGAGACTTGGAAAAGTATTCTTTTTCTGACAGATTCAGCAGGTTTCCCCAAGAACAGTCATCATCAGTAACAGGCACTGTCTGTGCACAGTCCTGACTTTGAGTGAAGTACCCTGACTTACACAGACTGTTTTATCAATAAGGTAAAACTGATCTGTTTCTCTCAGTTTCTAGCCAAGAGTAGGATTTAACCTTTGGAATTCCTAGAAACTGTTCTTTAATAGGTATTTTTTACTGTCCCAGATGGTGGACTTTTCTGGAAGAATTACCAGAATCGCCTGCTAGCTGCTGAAATCTCTTGTAAACAGTTCAAGCTCAGTGGCTCCTTAGTTTCTCTTGTCAGTGGTGCCTGGAGAAGGCAGATGCCTCTCCTGAGAGATCTCTGAGGCTGTTGGTACTATTCCAGGTAACTGCTGGACACCTTGGGTCTTGTGACCCAGGCCTTGTACTGGGGAGCACAGCCCATGGGGGAGAACCTGTTCAGCTGAATAAAGTAGACACTGTAACCAAACACATTACAGACCCAGGGCTGTTTCCAAAGGAGATGGGAAAGAGTTAAGCATTTCTGTTGCAATTTTGCCTGCATTTCTTTCACAGGCCAATGGATTTATCTACCATCAAAAAGAACATTGAGAACGGGCTGATCCGAACCACAGCCGAGTTCCAGCGCGATATTATGCTGATGTTTCAGAATGCAGTGATGTACAACAGCTCTGACCATGATGTGTACCACATGGCTGTGGAGATGCAGAGAGATGTCCTGGAGCAGATCCAGGTAAAGTACAGAGCTGAGGCCAGTGCAGGACAGAGCATCTGCCTCGGTCCATAGGTGTGGCTGTACCACAGTTTCCCTCCCAGTGCGTTTGGATGCAGTGGGTCCTGTCCTTCCCTGCTTCTCTCTCATGGTAGCTCAGGTGTTTGTGTTGAACTAGATTGTGGGCGAGTTAATAGTAACACAGCTAATTTTTTTATATGTTCATCCCTGACCAATTTCAAATGTAATTTCCTTCAGGGAAGTGCTTAGGCCAGCAAGAACTAGGGTGTGGTTCAGGAACAGAAACGAGCAACAGGAACGGTGAATGACAGGGGACGCGACAGCTTCTCTGGGTGGCTGTGCTGGTTTATGTTGCCGTAAAGTGCACATGAAACTGCCCTGTGAATTTATGCTATTTAAAATATCCTTTGAAGCAGAATGTCCCAGCTGGCAGGGTTGAATTTGAATTGGGGTTTTGTAGTTCCTCAGGACTTGTGGCTTCTGAGGTAAATTGGGGAACTTATTCTGAGCAGCACACAAGGAACTGAAACTGCCTCTGACCCAATCATTCCCAGCCTGTGGTCTGTGATAGTTAACTGACATGCACTTACTGAGCTTGTTTTGCCTGACAATCTTAAGAGAGTGTGGTTTCCTTGCAGCAATTTCTGGCCACACAACTGATGATGCAAACGTCAGAGTCAGGGATCAGTGCAAAGAGCCTGCGGGGGCGAGACTCCACTCGCAAGCAGGATGCTTCGGAGAAGGTGAGAATGCTGCACCCTGTGCAAGGGCACTTGGGATCTTCTAAAGAATCCCAAGATACTGCATGAAGTTCCCACACCAAGGAGGCAAAAGTTCCCACACCAGCATCTTCATGTGAACAACTTTTCTTTAAATGTCTGTTGATTAGATTTCAGTTCTGGAACTGTACAGCATGCCAGAGGCAGGTCTCATGAGTTTTTTCTGTAATCCAAATATTTCTATTACCTGGTTTTAAAAAACAGGTGATAAAAACTGTAGGAAAATGAGCAGAGTATTGGAAGAGGTGTGAATACTCTCAGGCACATGGTGTGCCTCTTTGGGATGGGCCTGCAGGGCAGGGAGCTGGACTCAGTGATCCTTGTGGTTCCCCTCTGACTCCACACATTCTGTGATTCTGTGGTATGGCAGAAAGGTGAAGGGAATTGCCATATCCTTCACTTTCTAGTCAGGTTTCTAGAGCTAGAGAATCAGTCCCCTCTGGTTGGTTTGCTGTGTAAAATACACCAGAGGACCTTTGAATTCCACACTGATCTAAGCAATGAAGGTTTGTGGTTTTTTCTTCTATAAAAACACGTGCAAACTTGATGAAGTGATCTCAGGTACTCTCTGGTGCACACAACACTGTGACAGCAGAGGCTGCCTGCTGAGTTCTAGTGACAGCTGCACTGAGCAGGAATTGTTTGGTAGACCAGGAAAACTTGCTGTGGCTGTGGAGGGAATATCCCTTTCCTGGCATTCTGGCTCTCGCAGTATCCCTCTTTTTGTCTGTTTTTATGTTCCTGCTGCATAAGACTGACGCCCTGCAGGAAGGGGAGTGGGGCACATGTTCCTCTATGCTCATGTGTGGGCTCAGTGCTTCTGTGTGGTGTGTGCATTTCCGTAGCTGATGCCTGATAAGTCCTTCTGTTTGGCCTTTTAACAGGACAGTGTCCCAATGGGCTCTCCTGCCTTCCTTCTCTCTCTCTTTGTAAGTATTGAAAGGCTCCAGCAGGTTCTGCAGTACTGCTGCCAGGTGCTCTGCTCCTTGTCTGGGTGATCACTGCACTGTCACAGCATCCTTAGCACTGCAGCAGGGTGTGTTTGACTTGGGGGCTGCACCACTGTGAGCTGAGAAGAGAAATCTCAGTCCCTTACTCTCAAAATGGGTGAGCGGGTGGGGCTTCAGTCTTTTCTTCTGGTTCCAAGTGTTTTTGTTTTGTCATCTGCTTTTGCTTTTTTCCATGACTTCTCTCCTGCTTTCTTTCCATGTAAGTGGGAAGACAAACCAAGTGGTGCAGTCCTGTAGTTCCTACATCTCTCATGTTTATACAGCTGCCCCTTCCACACGTCCGAGGCAGTACAAAAGGTCTTGGGAGAGTGAGGAGTCAGCTGTGTGTCCTTTATCCGTTCCTGGTTCAGAAAGCAAATAAGACTCTGCAGAAATATCTTGCTCTGTGCCTGTGGTGATCTGGAAGTGTTTGGAAAAATATTCCCTCTGGGAAACCCCAAGTCTCTGAGTTACTGTGAGGAGAGAGAGGAGGAAGATGGAGAGCTGTGCTTACCTCTCACATGTATCTAAAGACAGAGGAGTACTCCAGGAGAGGCAGCAGATCAGCCAGAGAGAGGATCAGAGGAAGCTCTCAGCTCACCTTCTGCTCGTGGAAAGGAGCTGTGTGGAGGAACTAGGGAGCTAGTGCCAGGGTCACTCAGCTGGAGGAGCACTTCCCATAGGGATCAGCTGATAAGGTAGGTTAGTCAGCAGTTTTACTTTTCCCACCTTAAGCTAGAATCTGTTGCTTAGGGAGAAGCCTGCACTGTCCAGGCTCCAAAAACATCTACCTCTGGGCCAGAGGTGTTGTCTCTCTGTGCCCTGGCTCCAGCAGGGCAGAGATGCTGCCAAGCCCAGCACCCTGCTGTGGCCAGATCCAACTTTAGGTAGGTCTGCAGGCAGGCCTTGGCAGGGACAGCTTCCCTTTCTCCTGATGGGAAGGCATGAACAGTTGTTGCCAGATACAGAATTCCCTCTGTCCCTCCCTCCTTCCCTCCTGCCTGCCGGAGGGACGTTCCCGTGGGGTTGTGTAACTCTGTTTGTTTGCCTTGTGAGCAGGACGGAGGCACCAGAGGGCGGCGCTGCGCCATCGAGGCAGACATGAAGATGAAGAAATGATGCTGCAGACACAAAATCCCAGCAGAATCCCAGGCATCCGGAGCTGGAGTGTGAGCAGACAGCTCTTAACAGCTGTTGGAGGAGGAAGAAAAGCTGCAGGTCCATTTCTGGGACCTGGTTCACCACCTTCGCTTGCCCTTCTGGAAAGCAGTGTCTTGTCAGAATGTGTAACCCAAAGAAACTCCCCTAGAGGGGAAGAGCAGCCCCCCTGCCTGTTTTAGGGCAGTTGTCTTGGGCTTCATCAGTGTTCTGGTGTTAGCTAGCAGCTGGTGGCTCGTACGTACTGTAATGTGAAGTGTACAGATTTTTACTAGTGCTGTGTAAATGTGATGTATATTAAAATCTGGGAACAAACCCGTGTGCAGTGTACTGAGCATCACAGCTCTGCAGGGAGGAGCCCTGTGGTACAAGCCTGGATCCCCACCTGGACTATCTGCAAATATAATTCTTTTCCAGTTATCCCTATAGCACACATGCATGGCAGAGCTCTGATGTTAGAGACAATCCATAAATCACAGGAATGCTGCACAGTGCTTGCATGGAGAGGAAGATTCCCTGCTTGAGTGTGTGAGGATACAGCAGCACTGTGGTGACACTGGAGATCAAACCTTGAGAAGTTAAATACTGCAGTCTTGTTGGAGCTTTCCTTAGGAGAAAATGCATTGAAAAGGACTTGACATTCTTTCCCCTGAGATCTGTGGAGGCTGCACTAGTCAGAGTGAAAATCTGTGATCCCAGCAGCCGTAGGCAGGATTGCCAGTACCTGGTTTCACATCTGAGCTTGTGCCCTGTTTCTACTGGGAATTACAGTCCTTTTCCTCAGCAACATGAAGGTTTAAGTTCTCTGAAGAATTTCCAAGTGACTTTTTCTGCTCATATGACCTGAGATGAAACTTGCATGTTTTCTGCCCACACAACCTTCCATGGGGGAAAAGAAAACAACAGAATGACACCATCCATGATTGCTGCAGCAGCTGGGAGTGCTCTGCCCTCCGTGCAGCATATCCAGGGTGCAGCTTTCTGGTAGACAGGTTTCAGGAAACTGAGTCACTGGGATTAAGACCAGAGGCATTGTTCCCTTATCCAGTAAGAGTTCTCAATTTTCACAAGTTCAGTGTTGAAGTTGGCTGTGCCTGCTGTGTCAAGTCCTGTGTATTGCTGAGGTGAATTTTCACCAAGAGTCACCTTACTGATGTGGAAATGCTGAAACTCCCTTGGATTGGTGATTGGTTAATTGTCTTTGGCTGTTAAACCCGGGAGCAAACTTATGGTTTGAATTTTTATTGCTCTCAGTTCATAGCACAAAAAGTTACAGAGATCTTTGTCTTTCATGCATTTTATGGAGTGATTTCAGTTAGGGACAAACATTTTAGCACTGCCTGTTGTGACAGGACAAGGTGATGGTTCTAAACTAAAAGAGGGCCTATTTAGACTGAGTGAAGATTTTTTTTTTTTACAATGAGGGTGGGGAGGCCCTGGCACAGGTTACCTGGAGAAGCTGTGGATGCCCCATCCCTGAAGTGTTGGAGGCCAAGTTGGATGAGGCTCTGAGCAGCTTGGAATAGTGGAAGGTGTCCCTGCCCATGGCAGGGGGGCAGGACCAGTCAGCCTTTAAAGGTCCCTCCCAACCCAACCTGTTCCACGATTCTAAGCTGGAAAGAGCTTCTGTACCTTCCCTTACTTCATTCAGCTGCTCAGAGCAGGGCCAGCTTCAAATATTTACCTTACACCCAGTCAGAATTTCCTGTGGGGCAACTTGTCATCCCTGTCTCCTGTCACTTTGGGCTCTGAGAAGAGTCTGGCTCCATCTCTAATACCTCTGCCCTGCCATTGTCTCTGCTGTAAAAATGAAGGTGCAGCACAGGAGAAGACCTTTCTCAGACCCTCTGGTGACTTGCTTCCATCACAGCAAGCATTGCTGTTCCCTCCTACCCTTGGTTTCTTTTCCTAACCAGGTATTTTTCTCTCAGCCTTTTCTCTTGTCCCATGACATTTTAATAGTCTTTAATGATTTTAAGAGCTTTAAAATTCCAAGACAGGATTTTCTCTATGGAGCCTCATTCCCTCTTTCCCAATTCATCATCTCATGCTCTGACTACTTACTAATTCTCTTCTTCCTAATACTTTGTTCTAATCTGTCTGGTACAGAGCTGTGTTTTACTGTGCTGCATCTCCCAGCACCCACCCTTTTACAGACAGATAAAACTGTCACCCCTTTCTGGTTTTCTTCTTAAATGACAACTTACACAGCATAGGCTTGGTCACGTTATATTTAAGCTTCTTTAGATCTCACAAATAAATCCCAGTGGGTTCTAAGGTTTATTCACTCTCTCAAATTGTTCTAAAATCTCCCCTGTTGACATTTTAATTAGATATCATCTCTCAGACCCATCCCAAGAGAAGGTCTCATGTGAGCTCCTCTGTGGCAACTGCTGATAATGATGATTAATTTGGTTTTTCCAACTGGCCCTATTTTCCACTGAGATGTTTGGCACTGATCATGTTTCATCCCCACTGATCATCTGGCAGCTCTCTGCTTCTGATGTTTTTGATGAAGTTTTTTGTTTTTATTTGCTTTTATGTCTTTAGCAAATTGTTCTCTTTTTCCTTTTTTTTTTTCCTACTTTATGTGGATTCTATATTTCATTTATTAGAGTTCAGGCTTTTATCATTTTTCTTGTTTTGACATATAAGTTCTTTTTAAAGGCTGTCTTTTTGATTTCTAACAGCTTTTTCCCAGAACAGCAAGGGTTGTGCAGTGTCTGATCTCTGCAAAGTGAACTAAAACTTTCCAATTTGAGAGAGGTTCTTTGCTAGTGACTTATGTAGCCAACATAATTAAGAACTGTCAGGCAATTCTTAATTAAAAGTTCAAGTCTGTGTCATTTTGTCCGGAATTGGTGTAGAGCTGAGCTGTCTGTGATTATTTCACTCATCATGTCTTGCACTGTTCTCTGTTCTGCTCTCTGGCATCTTGAGTCTTCCAAGATTTGGTAAAACTGAACATAAGGCTGAAGATCTCTTTAATCTTATGCCCAAGTTCCCAGGACTTCCTGATTTTCAGCATTTATCCCTCTGGAGCACAGAAGGATGATCACAAGTGATCAGATTACCCCAGGCTGAGGCTTTTCTGTGCCTCTGCTTGTGGCAGCAGAAGAGAGCTCCAGGCACAGGCTTTCTCCTCAGATGGAATCTCAGTTTGCCCAACTCCCTCACCTGGAAGCTGAGAGCAGGTAATGTTATCTCCTACCTCATCAAATTTCATCTGCTGCCACTGAAGTGAACTTTGAAAGAGGTTTCAGCAGGACAGGCTTTCAGATCCCAACTCTGCTTCCAAGTTCACAAAATAAGCAAAGCAGTGTTCTCATCCCAGACCCAGTGGATTCTGTATTTCTCCCGGTTATGCACCATAAGCTGAATTTGGAGCTGTGCTAGCAGTCTTGAGAATGGAAAAGACAATCAGTGAGAAATGTGCTTGTGTAAAACTCTGAAAAAATTAGGTTGTACATAATTAACTGAAGACTCTAAAGACAGTGTTAATTAATGCATAGAATTCTCCATAGGTGCAGCATCCAGGCAGCTCCATTCAGTGGCAAGGTGAGGATTTTGTGCCATCCTTTACTGTTGTACTGTGGCTCTGCAATCAATTCCCCAGGCTTAGAGGACTCAGAGTGCACTCATGCAGTAGAAGACATTTAGGCATGGACTAATGAACAGAGATGAAAGAGAATCTCCTTCTTAAGAGAATGCAAACTTGTATTTTCTGCAGTGGATGGAACTGTGCCTGTTGGTGTGTGACGACTGTGTGGTTATAATTGTTCTGGCTCAGGTACATGAGATATCACCATCCAGATAAATCACACCTGTCCCTTTCAAAACTCTGTCTGTAAGGTTTGGAGTAAGTTATCTCCACTATAAAAAGTTCTCAGGGGGCAGCAAGTGGAATTTCAGTGAGTTGTCCTTGGAGTCACCAGTTGTTCCCAACACTCAGCAGCTGAGGAGCCCCAGCAGGACTCGGTCTGAGCTTGCTGGGTACCTTCAGCACCTGAAATATGGAGCATCAGCAAAGCCACATGCTCCCAGACAGCTCAGCATGCCCTGAGCAGTGACCCACTGACCAGGGCAGGGAGAGAGCACAGCAAAAGCACCAGAAAACCTGAAATTCAGTTGCTGTGCAGCAGCAGTTTGTGTAGCAGAGCTGCAGCCCTGCCATGTGCTGTGAGGTGAAGGCTGCTCACCTCAGAGTCCTTCCCATGCTGTGGCCCTCCAAGGGTGTCAAGAAATGAGCTGGGCTTGGCAGTTCCTGGATCAGGGTACAAAGAAATTGCTGTTTTTCATTGTTTGCAGATGGGCCATGCCTGGAAATCTGAGTTGGAATCTCCCATCAAGTCAGAGAACAGTGATTTCCAGTCTCTTCCTGACTTGGATTCAAGCTTGGAGCTGGATGTGATGAGCTGGAGAAATACTGAAGAGGAGGCCATGGGGAAGCTAGAGGGGAGCAGCCAGGAGGCAGACCGTGAGATGGAGCTGAGTGAGCCTCTCTGGAAGGATGACAGTGAAGATTACCACGAGGCAGAGAAGCCATGTGAAAACGACAGTCCTCTCCAGTTCCTCTTGGAGGTAGGGCTGGTTGGATTACAGGAAGGTGGGCAGCAAAGTTCAGGCCCTCCTGAAACATTGGGCTTTGCAGGGCCTGCACCATCCATACCAACAGAAACAGTCTGGGGGCACAGCAGAAGCTCTGGGTTCACGTTCTCCCCAGCCCAAGCCCAGCCTTTCCTCCCCTTTGGAGCTCCCACTGCACCCAAGCAGCTGCTTTGCCAAAACACAGCTCACCCTTAAGCACAGAAATGTCAGTGAACTGACACTGTAATAATAACACAGGGCTTCATCAGATTTTGCAAGGATTCCTAAAAATGGAAAGGCGTTCGTGAGCGATTGCAAAAATAGCATCTCTGCTGTTTATTTCTTCTCCCTTTTGCCTTCACAATTTTTAGTAATAAATCACTGTCTTGCAGGTAACCCAGATGTTGGAATCTTTCTGCATTGGCAGCACAGAGTCATCACAGACTCTGTGGGATTATTGTGGCTCGGGGAAGCAGAGTGATGGGGAGGAAGTGAGGAGCCAGGAAAAGACCACAGGAACAGCAGTCTCAGGAGCAGAGGAAAGTCAACTGCACATCCTGGCAGAAGATGAGGAAGAAAACTTCCTGGGAAGAGAGGTAGGAGAGTGGTGGTCCTGAAAGAGTCTCTGGCCCTGGGTGAGAGATGAGACAGTGAAGGAAACCAGCTCTAGAAGAGATGGGGAGCCCCAGGGTCTGAGAGGGGAGACAAAACACACGAGGAACACAGAAAAAATGTATGAGGGAAGGGTGTTTTTTATGTATGGCTGTGTATAAACAGGAAGCTTGTTACAGATGAAACCCTCAGATGTGAGTTGGAGGAATTGCTCCTTGGCAGTGTAAAGGTGACTCATGAGAGCTGGCAGGCTGCTCTCAGGTTTAAGGCAAGGTTGGAATACTTGCCTGGTTCTAATTGCTGTGTTTTGCAGCACAGCTTGGCTGGTTTCAGGCCCACGTGGCTGTGCCAGCAATAACCATCTGCCCCTGGGGACTGTCATGTCTTAGAAGCAGGCACTGTCTAGCCTGGGTTTGCATCAGTCCTGTGTTTGGGGCTGTGGGCTCCCACCAGCCTGCTGGGTATTCCTGGGAAAGCAGCACAGCACTGGAGGAACAGGGCCATCTTTCCACATTTGTTCTCTTGCAAACTCAGGACACTGGAGACAAATAACCCCCAGGATTTCACCTGTTCAGCCAGGACAGTGTATTCCCAGCAGTTATCTGCTCTCAACTGCTGCTACTCCCAGCAGCTCCCTCTCAGTTCTCCCAGTGGTCACAGCCAAACACACAGTGTCCAGTTTCTGAGAAGTCTGCTCGTGCTTCAGATCTGTTGAGGATTCTGAGGTGCTCCTGCACGAAATCCCACTGAGCCTTTTACTGGCAAACCACTGCAACAACAGCACCAGTCTCCTTCCTGGCTGAGTCTATTCCCTGTCATTTTAACGTGGGAGTTTGTGAGGAAACAACCTTGTTGAACTCTGGGGGTTCCTGTTATCTGTATCTGCAGCTTTACCAAGCCTGAGGCAGTCTTACCTCAGCTCCTGATTGCCCTCTCTACATCCATGACTCTTCCCAGAGAGCAGACACAACACTGGGCACTGCTCAGCTGCACAGGGTTTGTGTCAGCCAGGGGTGGATGTCATCCAAGAGATCACACACAGCTCCTGCTGGGAAGGTCTGAGTGAGGTCAAACAGCATCCTCTGAGTAACAGAGCAGGCAAGCTCCCAGATGAGCCTGGATGCAGCAAAGGGATATGCAGCAGGCTGGCTTCTAGATGAAGGATTCAGGTAATGTGCTGCCATTTTAGATGTGTCCTCTGCGCTCTTCAGGAAGAGAATGAAGACACACCTGGAGAACCCCCTTCAGATGAGCTGCATTCACCTGAGATGAGTGCTCAGGCCCTGGATCAAGATGACAGTGACAGCACCTCTGCAGCCTCAGTGCTGGACTCCACAGGCTCTCCCAACATGCACCTGTAAGTAGCTGGTTCTGCACTCTTGCAAATGCAGCAGAACAGAGTCATTTCCCTTGTCACATGAGAGAACAAGTGCATGGCACAGGTCACATCCAGGGAGGTGAGATAGACAAGCAGAGCAGGAGGGAAGGAGGTAACTTGTGCCAGCTCTGGATTTGCTGGTATTGTAGGGCATTGATCCTAAGGTGAAGTGAGAAGAGTAGAGATTAAATAAGAGATTAAATGGAAAATACATGTTTTATGTTTTCTCAAGTCAAATAGGCCTGGTGTGAGCTAGCTGCACATCAGGCTCTGTCAGGCAATGCACAGCCCAGCATTACCAGCCCCTCTGAGCAGGTGCAGGTGTGTCAGTCACATGCAGGCTCTGCCACCTGTGTGATAACTTGGAACTTTAAAAATAAAAGCGTGGGATTTTGAGAAGAGAAACTTCATTAAAACCTCCTCAGTAAAGTTTGGAACTGCAGAGTAGCTTGAGGTTTTTCTATCCAATCTGGTCCTGTTCCTTATCTCAGCTTTGCTTTTACCTCTTGTCCTGCATCTTCCTGCACTCTGGATGTTCAGTTGTGCATTCTGGTGCAGAACACTCCCACCATCACACTCCGAGGCTTTTTGTAGCTTCATCCACCTGGATGTGGTGGGAGCCAGCAGAATTGTCACCTCCTACTTTGTCTCGAGTGTGATGATCTGGCAGTATCTTCACTCCACAGGCTGCAGCCAAGCTGGAATAACCCCCTCCAGCACCTGATCCTCAAAAAAAAGCTCCTGTCCATCTGGAGGATGATAGCCAGCCACAGGTATGTGAGAGCAGAGAGCTGCATCAGCATGTCCTGAACACACTGCCCTGAGTCCCAGCTCCTGTGTCACCTGTCCCAGCTCCTGTGTCACCTGTCCCAACCCTCCCCTCCCAGGGGCTGGCCTGTCTCTCCAGGGCTTTGCTTTGGGAACAGCTGCCTGCTGCAGAGCTGGAGAGAACACTGCATATTGATTTCCTCTGATTAATGTGGCAGAGCCCAAATGCTGCTTCCTACACAGCTGGCACAACACTGGCTGTGCATCAGGGCCAGCAGGGAGAGGCAAGCCCTGCTCCATGTTTTTGGTGCAGGGGCAGGCAGAGAACGTTCCTTGTCCTTGTCCCTGTAGGTTCAGCAGCCCGTTCCTGAAGCCAGTGTCAGAGAAACAAGCCCCTGGATACAGGGATGTGGTAAAGAGGTGAGTTTGTGGAGGAAGTGCTCACTGGCTGATTTCTCTCGGGTTGTTTTCTGTCTTCTCTGGTTTCCAAAGGGCCAGTGGGATGGTTTCCTTCCTCCTTTTCCAGAGTTTGGCTGTCACCAGCATCTCCCACTGATTTCTCTCAGTAAAACTCCCTTCTGGGTAATTAGAACCTGGAAGCTTGCACTGACTCTGGAGCTGGTGGGAATTGTGCCTGCCCTGTGCAGGCATTGCATGGCTGGCTCATTGCAGGGACAGTCCCTGGGCAGGGGATGCAGGCCCTGCAGCTCAGCAGTCCCTTCTCCCCGTGCCTGGAATGTGCCTCAGGAGATGCCCCCTCCTCACCCGCTGCGAGCGCCCCAGATGTTTCACTCTCAGCACAGAAGTGGGTCATAAGAATAATTCCCAGAGAGATTAATGGCATTTTTTCAGAGCTGAATCATGTTCTATTCTGGTCACAGTTGTCCTCTCTGCAGCCATTCATTTTCCCATTCTGTCAAAGTAAGGGAAGTAATATTTATTCCCTATCATGTTCCCCTTACCAGCACTGCTATTTTTGCTGGTGGCACCATTCGATCTTTAGGGGGTTTAATAGATACCTATTTTAGTAACTTTTCTTTCTCCACTAAGACCTGGACTGACTTCCTAAAGACTAATTACTGCTTGCCTTCTCTGGAGCTCAGCATCCCATTTTTTCCAGAGGTGACTGCTAATGACCTGCCAAGTTGATTGGATAGCAAGTGTCGCATTGGCTGAACTCACTTTTGTCTGGCTCAGAAGAAAAGCCTTTCTCACTCCCCCCTGTGTGTCTTAAGCAATAAAGTTGATTGAAAATAGCTGTGCTTTCAGGGCTACCCTGAAATGAGAACAAGCACACGCATGCAGATCCCAAAGGATGCCAGGCCCTGGGTTGCAGTTTCATTCTTCTCCTCTCTGTCTTTTGTAGACCCATGGATTTAAGCAGCATAAAGAGGAGGCTGTCAAAGGGACACATTCAGTCCGTGATGCAGTTCCAGTGTGACCTGATGCTCATGTTCCAGAACGCTGTGATGTACAACAGCTCCGACCACCACGTGTTCCACGTGGCTGTGGAGATGCAGCGAGAGGTCTTGGAGCAGCTGCAGGTCTTGGCTGAAGCTCTCCTGTTGTCCAGGGACAGGCTGGAGTGAGGCAGAAGGTAACCAGCCCTGCCTGAGGCCTCTCTCAGTTGGAGCAGCGTTGTCTCCGTGGGTCAGGGCATCTCCTGGGCTCGGGGGATGTGCTGCCGTGGCCTCGGGTAGATCTCATTATCCCCAGTGCTGGCTGCTGGGTTGATGGGTTGATTCAGAGCAGTTTTTGGGAGGCTACCACGTTGGAAGCCTCCATTCTTTTTGGGAAAAGCAGCGATGTAGCCCTGCAGGGAGAAAAGTTCCCTGGGATGAAAAGCAAGGGAGAGAATGCCGTGTGTGGCCAGGTGGCTGCACACCGGGCACGGCAGCGTTCCCGCGTTGAGGTTCTTGTGCTCTTGTGTTGGGCCGGGTGGGTCCAACGTTACCGGCACTGACACACCCAATAAAGGCCCGTGTTGAAGCTTGCCCCGGCCTGCCTGGGACTGGGACCGCGACTGGAACTGGGGCTGGGTCCGGAACTGGGACTGGGACCGCAACTGGGACTGGGACTGGGAGGGGTCCAGAACTGGGACTTGGACTGGGATCACGACTGGAACTGGGGCTGACTCTAGAACTGGGACTGGAACTGGAACTGGGACTGGCTCCAGAACTGGGACTGGAACTGGAACTGGAACTGGTTCCAGAACTGGGACCGCGATTGGGACTGGGACTGGTTCCAGAACTGGGACCGGGGCCGGGAAGCGCGGGATGGAGCGCGTGGCCGGGTGGGTACAAACACCGCTCGCCATTGGTCCTCCCGGCTGTCAGTCACTGCCAGAGCGGTTCCGATTGGCTGACGGAGAGCCCGTGGGCGTGTGTCGCGGCGGGGCGCGTGCCCCGGAAGCGGAATCGGGCTGGCGCGGCCATGGCGCGGGAGAAGCCGGAGGCGGCGGCCGAGGCGGAGGCGACCCCGGAGCTCTCGTACCGGGAGCAGCTCGACTTCCTGAACCCCATCGCGCAGCCGCTCGCGTCCCGCAAGCTCACCCGAAAGCTGCTCAAGTGCATCAGGAAAGGTCTGGCGGCGCCGGCGGGGAGGGGCCGGGTGATGGTGCGGTCCCGCACGCTGCGCTTCTCACTCAGCCCCTCACGCCCTGGTTCTCTTACAGCGACCAAGCACAAGCAGCTCCGCCGCGGCGTGAAGGAGGTGCAGAAGTTCATCAACAAGGGCGAGAAGGGGTAAGTGCTGCCCTGGCCCCGCGGCCCGCGCGGCCCCGCCGGCGCGGCCGCTGACACGGCTGTGCCCGCAGGATCGCCGTGCTGGCCGGGGACACGCTGCCCATCGACGTCTACTGCCACATCCCCATCATGTGCGAGGACAGGAGCCTCCCGTACGCGTACGTCCCTTCCAAAACGGTGAGTGCTGGGGCGGGGGAGGAAGCAGCCCTGGTGACAGGGAACCCGGTGAGGAGCCCGGGCTGTGACCGGAGCCTTCCCGGGAGGTGCTGATCCGGTGCCCGAGTGAAGAACTCGGTGTTTGACCCTGACCAAGGCACAGAAGAGACAGGGGGGAGATGTAGGAGTGTCTCACGGTGGAATCAGAGAAGTGTTTGTCATGATGGAGTTCCTGCAGCAGCTCCGGGGCAGAGCCAGCCCGTCTTTGCCAGGCTCCTGTGGGCTGGGAGCAGCTCTTTTGCAGACAGGGAGCTGGGGGGCAGTCGGTGTCTTTGGAGCTTCAGCCCCGGTGCGGGCAGCTCTGCAGACCCACTCTGCGGAAGAATTCTGGCACGTGAGCCAGGTGCCAGTCCCTTCTGCCAGCCCAGCTTGCAGGAGACAAGCTGGGAAAAAGGTTCATGAGGTTCTCACTTCGGGAAGAGACCTGGCCCCCCATGGCCTCCCTGTGTTCCCTCAGGACTTGGGAGCTGCAGCCGGCTCCAAGCGCCCGACCTGTGTCATCCTGATCAAGCCCCACGAGGAGTACCAGGAGGCCTACGACGAGTGCCTGGAGGAGGTGTCGGCCCTGCCCCTGCCGCTGTGAAGAGCCGGGGCCGGGCTGTGCCCTGCGGGGCCCTCTGCGCGGGGGACTCCCTCACACGGCTGTGTCTGGGGGTTCTGGGGACTGATGGGGGATGCTGAGCACTGTGGGGTGAATAAAGATGTCTGCGGGTTTGTACAAAGTGGTCCTGGTGCTCGGGGTGAGGGCTGGGGGTGTCCGCGGCTGGGTTAAAGCACAGCGGGGGTGAGGCTGCCCCGGGAGCCCGCCCGGCCCCGCCGTGACTCACGGCCGTGCCCCGCCCGTTGTTCCGCCCAGCGCTGGGCAGGCCCCGGCCGGCCCCACACAGCCCCCTGACCCCCACCCTCATGGCCGGGAGCCCCCCGACCCCGAGGGAAGCAGAGCAGAGGTCCAGAGAGAGAAATGCAGGTTTATTGCAGGAATGGGGTGCGGAGCCGGGCTCAGCCTTCACGCGGTTCTGCTGTGACACACAGAGCAGGGCTCTCCTTCCAGCACCTCTGGGCTCCCCAGCTCCCCCTCACCTCCCCTGGGAGGGGGGACCCCAGCCTCTTCCCCAGCACAGGCACATGCCCCAGTCCTCTCTCCCACCCCAGTTTCTCCCAGTGTGGCAGAGCACCAGTTCCCATCCCTCCTTGCACAAGGCATTCCCCCATCTCAGCCCGAAGAAAGCTGCACCAACCACCTCCACTGCAGAGCAGCTCCACACTGGGGCCACGAGAAGCACCTCTGCTGGGGCAGCTGCCCCCTGCCAGCAGCACCAGAACTCCTCAGGGTTTCCTCCTCTGCCTGCCCACTGGCACCGCCAGCCCCAGGGCCCTGCTGACACGGCAGCCACTGCAAACAGCAGCTGCACCCCACAGCAAGGCAGTGGGGTGGGGGACAGGGCGTAAGCTTCTCCTCACAAGACATTAAGTTACTGTGTTGTAGGAACAGGGGGCAGCAGAGCAGGAGGGACAGGGAATGTCTCACAGGGTGCTTGGTTTCTGCCCTCATGGCAGAAGGAATCACAGGGCAAACACTCCTGGAGTCAGAGCACGGGGCACATGCAAGACCCCCACCCTGGCACAGATGACCCCCCCGCCCTCCAGAGACCCCCACCAGAAGGGCCTGAAGTGCTGCAAGAAGGAGAAGCTCCCCTGTGGCAATCGGTCCTTCAGCCCAGGGCAGCGCCGAGCGGGGCCAGTCCTTGTGCACACCCTGAGATCGTCCCTTTGCAGCGGCAAGAGACCTTCCCCCTTCTCAGTCCCACTGGCATCCCACCCCTCAGATCTTGGAGGACTCCACACGCTCGATCCAGGGCGAATCGATCCTGACATCCCTGGGCTCCGCCCGCAGCTGCCGCAGCTCCCGCTCCAGCGCCTGGCTCCGGTGGTACATCTCCATGTAGCTGGCCTGGAGCTCCCGCTGGTACCGCAGCACCTTCTCCTTCTCCTCCTGCCACGTTTTCCTCTCCAGCTCAAAGTTCACAGCCTGCAGCTGGCCCTGACGCCGCTCCCGCAGCAGCTCTGCCCACAGCCACTCCACCTGCCGCTCCAGGGGCTCCGCCGAGTCGCTCTGGAGGCCCCGGCACTTGGAGTCATCAGTTTCGCAGCCAGGGAAGTCCTGGCACGACGGCATGGGGTCATCGCCCAGGGGCAGCGAGGTGCTGGGCTCCGGGGGGCTCTGGAAGGAGTCTGCCAGCTGTGCCAGCTGGGTGTCCCTGGCCTGGACCTCTGCCTTGGCCTCCCGCAGCTGCGTCTTCAGGCTGAAGATCTCCCCCAGCTTCTGAGCCATCTCCTCCTGGGTGTCCCGGAGCTGCTGCTTCAGCAGGGAGATCTCTGCTGCTTTCTGGCACACCTGCAGGACACGGGCAAGCAGTCAGGAAGGGCTGGGGGAGCAGGACCCCAGAGGTGGCAGCACCCCAAGCTGTCCTCCCACACATGGCTCATCCCTCCTGTCCTGTGACCCCAAGTGACATCAGAGCAGGGAACTGCTGCTGGCCCCACAGCCAGGAGGGTGGCAATAGGGAAGGAAGGAAGGGGACCCACCTCCCACTTGGTCTCCTCCAGTTTGGGGCTGCCATGCTCGCCCTGGGGCTGCCGGAGCTTGCTCTCCTCGCACTGGCACTGCTGCAGGCTCAGCTCCTCCTGCAGCCGCTTCTTCTCCTGCTGCGCCTTGTAGAGCTGCAGCTGCAGCGCCCGCTGCCCGCGCTGCGCCTGCTGCATCACCTGCTGCAGCCGGGCCATGTACATCTGCTTCAGGTCCTCCAGCTCGTCCAGCCACAGCCGCTGCTTGTCCTCAAACGCCTGCAAGCACAGGAGGACACTGGTGAGAGGCTGTAGCCCCAGGAGGGACCCCAAGAGGTCCTGTGATATTTGATCCTCCCACTGTTGGGCATTCCAAGCCCATCACCTGCCACGGCAGCTCCTTCAGTGCTCCTCCCACCCCCACATCCCCAGCCCCATGGCTCACCTGTGTGAAGGGATCTTCAGTCTCACTGAGGCTCCTCTTAAGCTGCCGCAGCTCCCCTCCCGTCTCCTGCAGCCGGTCCTCCAGCTGCTTCACCGCGTCCTCCAGCGAGTAGGAGAACTCGTAGGGTGGCGGGGGCTCGCCGGGGCTCTGCAGCCTGCTCAGGGTGGCCATGCTTTTGCAGGACAGGGGCATCTTCTCAGGGGCCAGGGTCTCCCTGGGGCTCCGGGAAACCCTGTCCAAGGAGCCCCCGATGTGGTTGATGTGGCCCATGGAGGCGCTGAACTGGCTCTGGGCAGGCTTGAGGCGGGAGCCGTAGGATGGGAAGCTCTGGATGGAGTTGTGGCTGGAGTCAGAGGCCTCGTCCAGGCTGATTGCATGGAGCAGGTGGGTGCGGAGCGGGCCGTGCTGCGGGGCTGCCGTGCTGCTCTGCGACAGCAGCGTGTGCAGACTCCCATTGCTCTTGGACAACTTCTGCCCCTTGGACGAGGACAGGCCCTGCATGGATACCAGCCCCTTCCCAGCCACTGCCTTGAAGGCTGAGGGCCTGATACGACACTGAAAAACAAGAGCAAGGTCAAACATGAGCCTCTACAGCCAGAGAGACCCCCCACACTCCCTGCTCCATATCCCTGAACATCCTCAAATCCCCACATCCCACCCAGGTGGGTGCAGATCATCCTGCTCCATCCCCATCCTCTCACAGACCAGGCCGTATCTCAGGACCCCACAGCCTCACCTTGTCAAAGCGGCCCCGCTCCGGCAGGGAGCTCTTGGAGAAGTCGGCCCCACGGTGATGCTCGCGGGAGCAGCGCTCGGGGGACCGGTTCTCGCGGTCGCTCTCGTAGTCCCGCTTGTAGCAGGCGCCCGATGTCTGGTGCTTCCGCTCCGCCCGCGTCTCCTTCTTGGCCCCGTGCAGGTACCCAAAGAGCTCCCGCTGGTTCGGCCCCTTCCGCAGCAAGCCGTCGGGCTGCCGGAGCCCCCGCGAGCCTCCCAGCGGGGCCCGCAGCTCCAGGGGGGACAGATCCTGCTTCTCCACCAGGCTGCCCACGCTGCCCATGCTGCCAGCGACGCCGACGGGCTCCGAGGACAGGTAGGTGCCGAGGACACGGGTGTCGGGCTCACAGGTCACAGGACCCTGTGCTGCTGCCATGGAGAACTAGAGAAAAGCCCAGAACCAGCACTGCCGGGAAAGAGACAGAGTCAGCGATGCCCGGCAGCCGGGACACACCCCCGGCACCCCTTTCCCAGCCAGCCCCAAGGGCCCACACGGGCTCAGGGCACTGGGTATGGATCTGCCATCTCCCGTGCAGCTTCCCGGGGGACAGGGCACAGCAGGCACGGGCGGGGGCTCCCCGCCGCTGCCCCCACCATGGTGCAGCGCCTCCTCCCACACCCAGCCCCACCTCCCGCCCGCGGCCGGGGCCGCCACCAGAACAGGCACCTGCCGCCCAGCCAGGCGGGCGAGTTCGGGAGCCGGCAGCACCTGCCCAGGCCTGGCGCCAGCCCCGGCCCGGCAGCACCCAACCTCCCCGCCGGGACCTCCGGCTCCGGACACCCTCTGGAGGCCTCCCCAAAATGCCCCTGGGGATGCCCGTCAGCTTGGCCTCCCCGGGGCGCGCAGGGGACGGGCACCTCTGCGGCACCGCGGGGACACTCCCCGCACAGCACGAGCGGCACCGGCTCCTGCAGCTCGCAGGGCGAGCTCCACACGGCCCCTTCCACCCATGGGCATTCCCTCCCCAGCGCCGGGCAGGGAGCAGGCGGCCACAGCGCAGCTGCTGCGTGCGTGCCGGGGACCCCGCGGCCGGACATGGCGTGAGGGCGGCGGGAAGGGGCAGGATGCTGACGGGACAATGCGGCTTCCTGCGCAGGTGGCCGGGGGAGGAAGGATGAGAGGATGCCTTCGGCCTCGGCTCTGGCTCCCCAGCGCTAGGGAGGGGACGATGGCCTCACACCAGCGCAGGGGACACAGGGAGTGTGGCAGGGGCGAGGCAGAGCCCCCAGCACCGCTCCCAGCCTCGCCGAGGGCTCCGGGGCCGGGTTACACCCAGGAAGCTGCCCTGGTTCTCAGCACCACGCGCCGGGTAAACAAACACCCCGCTTTTAATTGCTGCCACGCACAAACCTGTCTGACAGCTCCCGGCCTGCGCTGTCACCTCCCTCTGCGAGCCCAACACCTGCTCCGGGCACCGGCACCCCACGAAGGGCACCAGGGATGGACCCTCTGGAAGGATCGGGGCTGCCTGCGGTGCCACGGGCGTGCACGGGGATAGGGGACGGGATGTTCCCATGGTGGGGGGGCGCGGATGGTGCCCATCCAGCCCCCGGCATTGGGGAGCAGCTCGGCCGAGCCCCGCAGCGGCTCCTCCCGGCACAGGCGGCCGAGGAAGTAGGTCAGGTTGTGGGAGGTTTGGGAAACGCCGGGGGAGCCCGAAGGTGTCCTGCCTGCGGCAGGGAGGGGATCACCCTCCAGGCGGCAAAACACCGGTCCGGCCAGCCTGGCTCCTTCGCGATCTGCTCCCAATCCCAGCCGTGCCCAGGCAGGATACGGCCACAAACCTTTTCCTTTCCCATTCCCATTCCATCCCGGAGCGAACGGCGGGGTTGCAGGGAGGCGGGCGCGGGTCCCGCGCAGCCCCCGCCGCGCCTCCCCGCAGCCCCGCCGGAATTTCCGGCACGGAGAGGGCGGAGGGGGCAGTCGGTGCCCGGGCCGAGCCCGGGACAAAGCCCCGCTGGCCGCAGCGCAGCGGGGGAGGGGGATGGGGCCCCGGCCCCGCACTCACCATGCCGGCGGCGCTGCGGTCCCGCACGGCTCCGCTCCGCGCTCCTTCCCTCGCCGCGTTTGAACGCGCCCCTCGGCCGCGGCCGCGCGGGGCGGCGGGCGGAGCCGGCACCGGCAAATCGCGGCGCGGGGGCGGCGGGACGGGAGGGGCGGGAAGCAGCAGCAGCAGCAGGAGGAGGTGGAGGAGGAGGAAGGAGGAAGGAGGAGGAAGGAGGGGGACGGCCCGGCCGTGCCCACCAGCGGGGCGGGGCGGGGCGGGGCAGGGCTCGCTGGCTGCGGGCGGTGCCGGCGCTGGTGCGGAACCCCAGTCCGCAAATGGCGGGGAGAGCTCGCAAATCCCCCCAGCTACAGCTCCGGACCGGCAGCACCGGCGCCGCTCGGCTCCCGGTAACCGCCTGACAGGCGGGCTGGTATTCCCGGGTATCGCCCACCAAGGGTGGAGAGAAATATTTTGCTTCGTACCTGCGGCGTGGAGAGGGGTCTCGACTCCATGGGACACTCTCTGTGCTTTCCTCCAGCAGGGCAACCCCTTGTACCCCCTCACAGCACCCGCGGGTGGGCAGGAGCGTCACAAAGCCCGGGGACACGGCGTACCCCCGTGGGACACTCGCCTGGCCTGGCGCCAGTGAGACGGAACACGCTTCATCCCTCTGAATCACATCCTGGCCTGGAGCCGGTTTTGGCAGCCGCAGGGAGCGATGATCCCGGCACGGGGTGGACCTGGTCAGCGGTGTCCGAGCCTCCTGCGGGAGCAGGACACCTGCAGCAGCCGTGCTCCGTCCCACGGCGCGGTGCCCGGCTCTGTCCCCGGGCAGGGACCGCACCGTCCCCAGCCCGGCGTGTCGCTGTGCCGCACCCGCTCGCTGCCAGCTCCCTCCGCCGCACAGCCGCGTCCTCAAGCTGTGCTGCCAGTGCTCTCCCACACACACACACTGTCCCCGGTCCCTGCTCGCCGGGCTCACATGCTGGCAGTGTCCTCGGTGCGCTGCCAAGGCACGCTGCGCTCCCTCGGGGCTCAGCCCCCGTTCCCCGTTCTCCTGCGCCCAGCGGCACCAGCACGCGTGGCCTCTGAACAAGGCAGCCCTTCCCAACGGTGCCATGTCCCATCCTGCTGGCCTCGGGAATGTGTCTGCCATGGCCTGGCCCTCTGCCTGGAGCTCAGTCGTGAAAAGCCCCCCTGCATCCCGCGGGGCTCGGCTCGGGCAGGCTGCGGGGATGGCGGGGGGCTGCACGGGGTGCTGGTCACGGCCGCACCCCTCCTTCCCGTCTGCCCCGATTCCTGCTCCTTCTCGGGCTGCCCCGAGCACGTCTGCCTGGATAGCAACTTCCACAGGGCCCTTGGCCCTGCCTGGGTCACTCCAGCAGCCAGGGATGTCACCGTCTCCAGGCAGAGATCCTTCAGCTTCCTCTTTTTCTTTCCCCATCCGCTCTCTCTGCTCACCTCACCCCCCAGTGCTCCTCTCTAAGATACCAAAGCAATTTCACGAGTCCATCAGCAAACAGCTCTGCAACAATCCACTTAATAACAACCTGGCAATAAAAGCCATCGATTGCTGCACCTGCTTCAACAGTAACCGGGACCCCAGAAGGGGGGTCACAGAGGGGCAGGGCTGGGCCTCCAGGGGCCCTCTCTGCCCCTGAGCATCCTGATGTTCTCCTCAGGCTTGCTGAGAACATGAGAACACCGGGAGGCTTTTGGCTGGGCTCTGCAGGGCTCCTGGGACAGCAGGCAGGGTGTGATCCATCTGTGGAAAGGCAACGGGGAAAACTTCATCCCCTCCCGCTGGGCCATTGCCGATACCGAAGCGTGTGGGGGGAGCAGAGCCGAGCGACCTCCGAGTCACATTCAGGGCTATAAAAGGAAGCCGGGTCTCCAGCAGGGTGCCTCTTCCACAAAAGCAACCGGGGGATGAGGGGGCTGCGAGCAGAGCTGAGAAATAGCTGCCAGGCAGCGGGAGAGGAGCCTGGAGCGCTGAGCGAAGTGCGAGGTGCACATATGCTCTCTGTTTCTGCACAGCTACGTCTTTATGAAACCTGCCCCAAATTGTGTCATCTATTTTGAACGGCTCAGAGAAATGCTTTGATCTGCCTCCACCAGCCCTGGCTGCGGTTCAGGCACCGGGAAGGGGCTGCCATGCAGATGGCTGATCCCAAACCCGTGCCATGGAGAGGCAGGAGTGGGGCTGCTGGGCCAGTATTTCCCTCTGGCTGCCCACAGCAAGGGCATGACTGGTCCTGGGAACACCTGTGGAGAAGTGCACCAGCTGTCCAAGTTCACCAGCACCTTCATGCCAGATACCAGCAGTGCTTTGGAGGCACCAAGCTGGAGAGGGCATCGGGAGCTCTTGGACAGCACAGCCCCACATCCCCCGAGGCTGAGCCTGCTGCTTCCATGATGCAAAGCAGATCCTCACCACCCTGCACCAGCACCCCAACCCCTGCCTCAGAGGGGGGATCACCCTATCTAAGGGCTCCAGACTCCTCTCCCAGCCCCAGAGAAGCACAGAAAGAAGGCACCAGATCCCTCCAGACACCCCAGCCCACAGCCCCTACAGGGTTCATGAGCCCTGCACTTGGCTCTGATGCTTTTTTCCCTCCCTCCCTCCCTCCTCTCTGGAGCTACTTGTCTTCCCAGGATGGCAACAGCTTCTCTCTGGAGATGCAAAGCAACCACTCCAGGAAGTGCCAGGCAGGCGACGAGGACAGAAGGGGCCAGGAAACGCAGAGGGCCTGGTGCCAGCGCTAGTGCTGGGGCTGAACAGAGAGGTACTGGCTGTTCAGCTGGGTCTACCCAGCCTCAGGAGGCAGCAGCACCCACAACGTGTGCCAAGACCCCAGGGCAGACATCCGATTTTCCAACCCCTCCAGAAAGGCTGAGGAAGCACATGCCACGGAAGGCAGGCAAGGAAAGGAAAGCACAGCCAGAGCTCTCCTCCTCACCCCAGAGAGGTCCTGGCCTTCAAGTGCTGACATCCAGCACTGCTGTGGATGCTGGGGCTCGGGCATGGCTCAGCCACAACCACTTCCTGCAGTGAAATGCCAAGAGCCCAGCCCTGGGGGTACCTGGCAGCTGGAAGAGGCACCATCTCTCTCAGAGCCCGTTTCAGACTGGCTTGGCTCTGAGGCAGAGCAGCTCAGAGCTCACCTGTCACACAGAGAGGAGCTGGGGCCAAGCCAGAACAGGTGTGCTGAAGGAAGGTGAAGGGAACAGGAAAATGGAGTAGTGCCAGCACAGCCCAGGGCATTCACAACTCACAGGCGCCCTGACAGTTCTTTATTGTCCTCTGAGCTGCGTGGCAGCTCAGCCATGTCCAGCACAGGAAAGCCACCTCCTGCACCTGCCCTGGGAGGCAGCACCAGCACCTGCAGCGACAGCAGCGAGTCCCACTCTCAGCCTCTTCTGCTGCTCCCAGCAAAGTCCAGTTCTCAGCCTCTTCTGCTCCTCTGTGTCTCGCCAGCACTGCCATGCTCATCCACCCAAATCCTGCCTGCTCCAGGCAGCTGCACGGCAGCCAGGGAGCCTTGGCACCAGCACAGAGCACACGATTGGCACGGGGGACGGGCTCAGCCAAACGTGCACCAGGGGGTCTCGTTTGTGTCACAGTCCAGCAAGATGTTAAGGACGGTGCAAGGGGCTCCTGCCACGCTCAGATCTGTCCGTGACTCGATTCTGTACCTCACGTTGTTCAGGCCTCCCTCCCGATCCACCTTGAACTGCTCCTGAGGAACAGAGAGACTGCTTGGCCCAGGCTGGAGGGGAGAAGTACCCTGGGCCCGGGGAGGGAGCCAGAGCTGGCACAGGAGGACACGAGCAAGGAGGGCTCAGAGCACGTGGTGACCACAGCCCCAGTGTCCCGTGGTTCCCCCTGACCACAGGTCTCACCTGCTTCTGCGCAGCGATGCGCTTCTGGTCTCTCTTCCTCCAGGCTGGATCATGCAGGTGCTGGAAAGTCTCGTATCCAGTTGTGATTCCAGAGGGACGACGAACCTGGGAGAAGAGCAGAGCTACTGGAAAACTCCTGCACCTGCTGCTGGAGCACAGGGCTGTCTTCCCCAGACCCCACACTGGGTGGTCACAGTGAGAGACAGGTGAAGAGATGTAAAAAAAGGCAATTTCAAGCCAGGAGGGTGCAGAGATCCCTTACCTGGAGACCAGCTCCTTTGATACGTCGATAAAACTCATCGTCCTCTCGTCCCCAGCCCCAGAAGCGGTTAGACATGCCATTGCACTGGAACGAGAGCAGCACCATAGCAGCCAAGGTCGAGCACAACTCCACAGCCTCAGAGGAGCAGACACCAGCCCAGCCTCCCTTGTCCTGCCCCCCAGCAGCTCAGACCACAGGCTCTGTCCCCAAACCATTCTGACTCCTGTCCCCACTTCCCAAGTTCACCACGATAATGTCACATCTCCTGCTCCAAACTGTCCAGGACATCCCACCCAGGAGCTCACCAACTCATAGTGCTGCTTGGTGAGCAGCAGGATGCCACCCACGTAGGTCTTGTAGTGGTAGAGCGGGTGCAGCTCGGGGGATGCCACGTGGAAAGGCCCTGCCTCTGGGAAGCTGTAGTCCAGGTGCTCGTTGAGGGGCAGGAGATCCACGTCGTGCATGGCGATGTAGTCGGTGTCGTTGCCGCTCTCCAGGAAGCCCACGTTGATCAGGGATGCCCTGTTAAACCTGCCACAGGACTGGGGGCTCTCAGTGCCACGCACAGCAGCCGCTGTCCCCACATCCCCCTGCCACAATCGTCAACGCTCAGTGTCTGACTGGTCCCCAAACAGGGACACATGCACACACAGCACTGCATCCTGCAGCTGCACCCCTGCACAGTGCGCTGGGGGCCACGGCATTTCCAAACACCCCACACCTGTCTTTGACTTCCAGAGTCCCCATGTTTGCTGCTGTGGACCTGTGACACTGGGGAGAAAGCTGAAATACCCGAGGATAAAGGATTCTGTGCTAAGATTCTATTCTTGCTAAGGAAGAAAGAAGCAAACCACCACTTTGTCCATCTCTAAGCTCTAGAATGAGCAGCTTTGGGGAGAGAGCATCACACGCTGCCCCTGACATCCCGCTGCCCTGACCCTCTGCTTCTCTGCAACACCCTCCCAGCACTCACAGAGCTTCGGGCGGGACCCCCTGGGCACAGGGAGACGCTACCTGAAATGATCCACTTGGTTGAGGATGAAGATGCGGTGGCGGATCCTCTTCTTGCTGAGGAAGCGATGCATGTAGGGCACGAAGGCCAGCAGCTCCTCGAAGCGCTCTCGGAAGGGCACCAGCAGCGCCAGCCGGTGCGGCCCCCACGACGGCTCCTCCTCGGGGGGCTGCAGCGGCGCGGGGGGCGGGCAGGGCTGCCGGGGAACCCCCCGGTGCTGCCCGCCCGGCGCCGGCCCCTCGCCCGAGCAGCTGAGCTGGAGCCAGAGCAGCGAAGCGAAGCCCAGCAGCAGCGCCAGCAGGAACAGCGGGAAGGCGGAGAGCCGGCCGGGGAAGAGCCGCAGGAGCGGCGGGGACCTGCGGGATGGAGCGGGGTCAGCGCACGGTGGACCTCCCTGCTCAAGCAGAGCCATCCCAAATCACACAGATTGTGTCCAGATGATTCATTAACATCTCCAGTGAGGGACATCACACCCTCTCCAGACAACCACTTTTGGCATGTCATTATCCTGCCTGGCTGCACCTCTTTTGGAGCTGGAGGTGCCAGAGAGGCAGTGGCTGAGCCTGTATGGTCAATGCTTTGTGTGAGGAGATGCAAATCTTGACTCCATGTTTGAGACGGTTGATTATATTATGATAGATATTATATTAAAATTATACACTGGCCCATGGCGCCCGCCCGGCCCCCGGCCCCGGGACACGCTGGCTGCGCCCGCCGCTCCCCCCGCTCCCCCGGAAACACGGCCCCGATCTCTTCCGCCCAAGGGGCGGGGCGGGGGCGGGACCGGCGGCCGGGGAGATCCCGTCCCACCGCCACCCCCCCCGGGGCTCCTCCGGAAACCGCGGGGACACCTCAGCACATCCCCGGTCACACACAGATCCGCGCCCGCGGAGCCTTTGGGATCCTCCCAGGATTGCCTCCTGCACGCCCTCCAAGCTGAGTCCGCATTCCCAGTTCCTCCAGCACTGCCCATCCTCCCCCCCTTCTCTCCCCATCACACAGAGCCAGAGCCACGGGTGGTGTCAGTCCTTTAATGCCCACTCGCAGCCCCCTCCCCTCAGCCCCTCATGTTCACACCTGCCCCAGGCAGCACAGCAAGTCCCAGCAAGGCGGGGGGAGCGCTGGAAAAACCGGGGAGCAACCTCCAGGCTCCCACAGCAGAGCTCTGGGGAACCACCGGGCATCACCCCCCTCAGTCCAACCCGCGGGAGGCCAAGGGCCAGGCAGGGGTTACAGCCAAACAGACAGGTAAGAAAATACTTCTGGTATTTCTCAGAAACAGCATTTAGAAACCACAGTTTTTTTTACAGCTCCCCATAAAAAAAGATGGGTTTGGGCACAGGTGCTCCACTAGTAGAAACGCTTGTTCCGTTCCTGGCGTTTCTGGAAGACCACGGCTCCCACCACGGCGCAGACAATGATGCCCAGCAGTGCACAGAGCAGGAGCAGGAACACCTTCCAGCCCGTCAGCGGCCCGCTCCGGAAATTCCCCGTCGGGTCATCCACGTTGTCTGCAAGGGAAAGAACAGCTACAGAGACCAACATAACCTCGGCTCCTGTGGAGTTCAGCCCGGTGTCACGCCTTCAATGCCTTCCAGCGTCCAGCCCCAACCTCCTCATCTCCAATGGGAGATTTCCTAAGCCCACGGGCTCACCTTTGGGGGATTTAAGGAGGCTGACCCTCGGCTCGATCTTGGTCCAGTCAACGGTCTCATCTTCTACAGGGTGCTCCACCATGAGCTGGAACAGCTTCATCGAGATAATGTCGTGATTGTCTGGGGAACAACCATGAGCAGCAAACACCGTCAGAAGCTCTGAGATGTCCACACACTCAGAGCACCCCTCAGACTGTCCTCTGCCAGGTCCAGTCTCCTTCCCTCTCAAGCCACTCATCCCCAGATATCAAACTGCAATCCAAAGATGTTCCTAGCTCTCAGGTGCCTCCTTTCCCCAGCCATGGGTCCCAAAAGGGTTTCAAGAGCCCAGTGAACAATCCAGAGAAAGGAAGCAATGGAAACTATCCAGTGCATCCAGTGTTTCAATCACAGAACCACATTTTTAGGGTTGGAAGGGACCTCTGGAAATCCAACTCCCCTGCCAAGGCAGGGCCACCTAATCCAGGCTCCAACCACCGCGTGTTCCCCTGAGCAAAGCCCCTCTCACCAGAGAGATCTCCAGTGCCAGCAGAAGCACCAAAGAAGTACCCGGTTGGCAGCTGCACCCCTGCGATGTCGATGCAGTTCTTCCACTCGTTCTTGTCTTCCACGTCAGTCATCACCTGCAAAACCACGAGAGGGTCACACCAGCAGTGTTCAGAACCACGGGACAGGGCCCAACCTCCCTGCTCAAGCAGAGCCATCCCAAATCACACAGATTGTGTCCAGATGATTCATTAACATCTCCAGTGAGGGACATCACACTCTCTCCAGACAACCACTTTTGGCATGCCATTATCCTGCCTGGCTGCACCTCTTTTGGAGCTGGAGGTGCCAGAGAGGCAGTGGCTGAGCCTGTATGGTCAATGCTTTGTGTGAGGAGATGCAAATCTTGACTCCATGTTTGAGACGGTTGATTATATTATGATAGATATTATATTAAAATTATACACTGAAACGATACTAAAAGAATAGAGAGAAAAGGATTCATCAGAAGACTAGAAAGAACAAGAATGGAATGGATAACAAAGACTCTTGACTCCTAGAGAGTCTGAGCCAGCTGTCTGTGATTGGCCATTAATTAGAAACAACTAACATGCACCAATCACAGATGCACCTGTTGATAAACAATATCCACATTCCACAGCCATCAGACAGTTAACTGTTCACATTTCTTTTCTGAGGCTTTTCAGCTAAAATAAGAGAAAAACCCTAGCAAAGGATTTTTCATAAAATATCACAGCTACAAGGCTGGAATCCCACCTGCAGCTGGTGGGAGCCAGCCCTGCCCGTGGGTCTCACCGTGAGGCGGCCGCGGGAGTAGCGCACGGCCAGGAAGGTGTCGTGGTTCTGGTTGCGCAGGTCGGCCGAGCAGCCGGCCAGCTCCGTCCAGCGCCCGTCCTTGCTGTGCTCGTAGCTCAGGGAGCCGTTGTTCACCATGGCTGAGATGTAGGGGAACACACGCTGTGGGGACAGACAGGGGCTGTGGGAGCTCCCGGGGCACGGCCAGAGCCCGCAGAGGGAGCAGGGCACGGTCAGGCACGGAGCACGGGATGAGCACGGCTGCTGCTCCACCTAAAGCTGCTCCTGAACACAGCCAGAGCTGCCTAAAGCACAGCCACCCTTCCTGAGCTGCCATTTCAAGACCCCCATGCTGTAATTCTGTTGATTCAACCCACCCTGTACTCCACGGCCAAGGCAATCAGACTCTCCCACACTTGCAGAGTGGCTGGGTAAAAATCCCAGAATTGTTTCAGTTGGAAAAGACCTCTGAGAGCATTCAGTCCAACCTGTGACCAATCCCCACCTTGTCAGCTAGCCCTGAGTGCCACATCCAGTTGTTCTTTGAACACAAGAAGTGTGATAACAGGGCACAAGACCCAGAATGGACAGAAATCTACATAAGCAGCAAAACCACACGCAAGGCTTTGTGATCTGTGGATTACCTACACCAGGAGAGGATAACTGGAGGCAGGAATTCACCTCCCAAGAGCATCAAGACAACAGGGAGATGGGTCATTTCCAGATGCTTATGACTGAAGTATCATGGTTTTGATGGTACAGACCCCAAAGCACAATTTTGTTTTCTGACTGGACCATAATGAGATCCACAGACACAGAGCAGGACAGAAGAAAAGGATCCCCAGCCCTCACAGGACTGATCTGTCCCATGGCCATGGGGAATTCTGGAGCAAAAAGGCAGCCCAGGAATTTCTTTCAGGCACACACAGGTTGCAAAGAGAAAATAAGGGCAGAAACATCATGGGATGCACAGAGGTCAGGGAATGACACTCAGGATGAATATTAGCAGATGGTGCTGGGTTTACAGTAGCTCTGTGCCTGCTCTCCTGCACAGAGATGCCTTGGAAACATTTGTGCAGCCAAGAGCAGCACAAGAAAGAGCAAGAAGCTTCTTATCTCCATTAATGCACCCAAACTCTTCTTTTTACCAACTCCCAGGACAAGAAGAGCAGACCATGCCCAGCTAGGGACTTTTCCTTGGATCAGGTGAGAAGCACTTGGAGCCGGAAGGGAACACTGGGCACTGCACAAGCTGCCTGGACCACTCACCTCTGTTGCCTCATCATTGGGATAGGTATCAAGGAAAATAGCCAGTCCGTGGAAGTTGTCCTTGCTGCCAAAGACAGGACCTGGAACAGGGCAGAGGAGCGGAGACAGGAAGAGACGGAAGGAGGTGAGAATGTGCGCTCAGAGAGTGCTGAGCTGTAACAGCTGCTCACTGCCAAGCAGCTGGCTGAGGGCACCTGCTGCCCGGGCAGAACACAGGGACACGTCACCCCAGCCCAGCGAAACCAGCGGGGAGCTCAGAGCCGTCGCTGGCCAGCCGCCTCCCGGGACAGGCCGTGTGCTCGGGCCAGCCGCGCCCGCACCGACCTGGCGTCAGGCGATCCTGCGTGTACCACAGCGCCAGCCCGTCCCCGTGCAGGTTCTTCTTGCCGGCTCCGTGGATCTTGAAGTGGACGTGGAGCTCCCAGTCCTTGAGGAAGCAGGGCTGTGGGAGAAACCCCCGGCGGCGTCAGGGCGTGAGGCGCCAGGGCCGCCCCGACCCCCGCCCGCCCTGCCCCGGCTCTCACCACGCGGTTCCAGATGGAGCCCTCCCGACTGCGCTCGTCGGGCGTCAGGCGGACGTACTGGCTGGTGACCATGGTGCTGCCCGTGAAGTCCCACAGCGGCATCGCGGCGGAGCCCGCGCCTGCCAAGGAGCGAACAGAGCGCGGATCAGCCCGGGCCGCTCGCGGGGCGCCCCGAGCGTCCCCCCGGCCCCGCGCTCACCCTGGTACGGCTTCATCAGCGAGTGCTCCCGCTTCAGGTGCTCGCTGTTGCCATCCGTGAGCTCGGCGGGCACCGGGCGCGGCCCGGCCAGGGCCAACAGCAGCGCGGCCGCCGCCACCAGCCCGCCCGCACCCGCCGCCATGCTCCGCTTCCGCCTTCCGGCGCCCCGCCCTCAGCCCCGCCTCACAACAGCAGCAGCCAATTAGAAACCCGCATTCACTGTGGTCCCGCCCTCATGCGTGAGCTACATCAGTGCCCGCCTATGGCAGAGGAGAAGGGCGGGGACAGCGAGGCGCGCAGCTCCCGTTGTGCGGCGGGAGGCGGGAGGAGGGGGCCGAACGGCCTCCCGGCGTGCGTTCCGCGTGCGCGGCGGCGCGGGGCGTGCCGGGAGGTGTAGTCCGCTCGCCTTCCGTGGACCGCCTCACGTGCGCGGCTCGTGCCGCCCGCGGGACACGTGACCCGCCCCGACGGGTCCGGGAACAATGGGCTCGGGAACGGCCCCGGGATGGGCCTCGGGAACGGCCTCGGGAACAATGGGCCCGGGGAATGGCCTCGGGAACAATGGGCCTGGGGAACGGCCTCGGGAACAATGGGCCCGGGGAATGGCCTCGGGACCGGGTCCGGCAAGGGCCCGGGGAACGGCCTCGGGAACGGGTCCCGGATGGGCCCCGGGAGCGGCCTCGGGAGCAATGGCCCCTCGGGAACAACGGGCTCGGGAACAGCCCCACGGGCCCCGCCGGGCCGCAGAGCAGGAAGCACAGGCCGAGGCAGCGCGGAGGTGACAGCAGCTTTATTGAGGGTGGCAGGGCAGCCCCCGCGCCGCTCCCGCAGGTCTCCCCCATCCCTCCGCCACGGCAGCCGTGGTGGCCCGGGAGTGGAATCTCCCGGCCCTCCGGATGGGCGCCCGAGCCAGGCGAAAGCAGCCCCGCACGTCGGGACACAGCGCGTGTGGTACCAACCCAGGGGTACAGGGACCCCTCGGTGGCACAGAGCAGCCCCCGCTGGCAGCGGGCAGATCCCTCCGGTGGTGACTGGTCCTGTCCTCGTGCTTGTCCCGAGTTCTGTGCGCACATGGGGACTCTCTGACTCTGGCTTTCCCGAGCAGCTGCAGTCCCATCCTGCGGGAGCACAGGGGGACACAGCGCTCGGTGCCTGGCGGTGTAGCCAGCGCCGTGTCGGGGTGCCCGGGGTGCCTGGGGTCACAGCAGCCCCTGCAGGGTGTGACAGCAGTGTGGATGGACAAGTCCAGGGCAGGTTCTCATGCTGGAGGTGTGCAAGCCCTCAGCACGGTGGGACACGTGCTTCCCTCCAACAGCACGGGGGCTGCAGGGGAGTCGGGGGTGTGAGGAGCCCGTGGAAGCCCAGGAGGCAGGGAGAGGAAGCTGATTGATTAGTGGAAGAGTGGGTGGGAAAATCATCCGAACATGGCAGTCTGAGGCTCAGGGCCCAGCCGAGGCTCGGGGGGAGCCGAGGGACCAGGGGGGTTGGCCGTGGCGTAGGGACCTGCAGCTCAGTCCCGTCTGGCACTTTGCAACTCTCACTTCTTCCTGTTCATGATGTGGCTGGAAATCCAGTTCATCCCATCCTGGAGGGAAGAAGGATGTGAGCGCAGGCCCTTGGGCCCTCTCCCAGCTCTGCAGAGCCCACAGGCCCCCATCTCTACCTGCACCCCTTCCCCAGACAGGGCCGAGCAGGCCTGGATCTGCCACTCCCGGTCCCGGTAGGTGTGCAGGCTCAGCCCTTCTGCAATTTCAGCCGCGGGTGCTGCAGTCACCAGGTCCTGCTTGTTGGCAAACACCAGCAGCGGGACCCCCGTGAGGGACTCGTCCTCCGTGAGCTCTGCCAGCTCCTGCCAAGAGAGAAGCTTCTCCCAGGGCTGCTGTCCTCCTCCACTGAGCCAGCCAGCACGGGCTGGACACTTCAGCCCTCCAAATGCCTTATCCCTCCTCTCTGGTGCTCATGGCAGATAAGGAAGCTGTGAGGTCTTGACATTCCAAGGGAGAGAAGCTACCAAAGGAGCTTCACCTCCTGGAGCTCCATCAGCCCAGGAGCCACATGCAGGCTACTTGAGGACTGAAATCCTCCCAGCACTGAGAGCCCTGGGCAAAGGGCAGCAGCTGCAGGAGGCTCCTGGCAGTCCCGAGCTGTCTGGCACACCCACACCACCGTCTGGTGCTGGAACAGCCGGGGCTGGCACTTGGAGTCTCACCTTCTCCTCTCAGAGCTTCATTCCCAGGGTTTGTACTACCCATAAACCTTTGTTTGGCCATATCACTAACGGGGGTGGGATGAGGGCTGGGGATGAGGGGTCACTTTCACCAAGGACTGCCACCCCTCCTTGGAGCATCCCAGCTCAGGGGGAGCTGCTGGGCCATGGAGTGGGGCATCTCTGCCTGCTGAGATCTTGAGCCTTTCTGCAGAGCACTGCCCCATAATTCAGAGCAGCTTTGCTTCCCCTCATCCCCAAAGAGCTGGTGCCATACAGATCTGAGCCCCAGGACCCCACAGCCACCCCTCACCCACTCATACCTGCCCTGTCTCCTCGAAACGCTTCTGGTCGGCACTGTCAATGACATAAATCTGCCGTGGGGACAAAAGGGACAGTCAGGGGCTCCTCCTTGCCTGGCTGCACAGCCCTTCTGTGGGGCCCACACAGCGTGCACAGGCTGGGGGTGCTGCCCCACTCACCAGCAGGTCTGTGCTGCCCAGGTACTTCTTCCAGTACGGGCGGATGGAGCGCTGCCCCCCGATATCCCAAACATTCAGCTTCAAACCGTGGGACTGGACGCTCTTGATGTTGAATCCCTGCACGGGGACACAAACCCCAGCGTCACCCAGGGGATGGGTGGGACTGCGCCCTCCGCCCCGCCCGTGGCCCCCAGCAGCCCCTACCTGTGTGGGGGTGATGGTGCTGACCTCCTCGGACGCCAGGCGCTTCAGCAGCGTCGTCTTGCCCGCGTTATCCAGCCCCAGCAGGACGATGCGGAGCTCCTGCTCCGGGGATCCCTTCAGCTTCTGGATGACAGAGAGCAGCCCCTGGGGGCAGGGAGTGCTAGGGGAGCCCTGTGGGGTGCCGGGTCCCTGGTTTGGGAGGGGGGAACTGGGCACGCTCTTGGCTTTGGGTACCTTGTGTCTGTGGCCTGAGCCAGCATCAAGGCCCAGTTCCCAAGGTGTTCAGGCTCGGGGTGGCCCCACAGCAGATCTGCCCAGCCCCGATTCCCCCCTTCCCGGTGTGCCAGCCCTGGGACCACTCCCAGCTCCTGGGCACGCTGGGGGGGACATGCCCCAGGCAGAGCCCTGCTCCGCCAGCCCTCCTGCACCTCCCCTGAGAGCTGGTGCTGCGCTCCCCCCTGGAGCCGGTGGGGTGTCACCGAACCCCGCTTACCTTCTGCACATCACCCATGGTCCGGGAGTGGCTCCGGCCCGCGGCACCGCCTGGGGAGCTGCCGGGGGCTCGTCCCCGGGGCCCGCCGGTGGGTTCGTGACTGACACGCTCCCCGTCCCCGGGGGAGGAAGAGGATTACGGGCTCCGGAATTAGCTGCTGTTCCTCCATTTACCCACAGCATTAAATAATGCCCTCGGCAAATCCTCCAGCCAGCTGTCGCCCCACCGTCGCCTACCCCCGGGATAAACCAGGTCCCCCCGGGCTGGGGCACTGGGGCACAGCACGTCCCTGTCCCCATGGGGCAGGGGTCCCAGCCTGGGGGGATGCCGTGCCCAGGCACAGTGCTGGCACAGCCTCACACCCTGGGATACCTCACGCTGAGGCAACAGCAGCACCCACAAGCTGTCCCCTTGCAGGGTGGCAGAAGAAATTGCTGAGCTTGCTTGAGGCCACGTCAGCGACTGCCACAGCTCCCTGCTGCTGCCCAAGGGAAACCACCAGGCCCTGGAGCAGGTTGAGGGCTGGCTTGTCAGCAGCTGGGGATGACACAGGACAGGCATCCAGAGGGGCTCAGACACATTCTCCAGCAGCCCACCCCCAACCCAGGTGGGGTGAGGGGCTCATCTGTTCTCCGTTTGGATTAAGTGCATTAATTAAGCGATGTCTTTGATTCCTGCATGCTGCAGTTCCATCCTCAGATCAGGTTTCCCAGCAGAGAGGTTATCCTTGTGGTGAGGACCGTGAGTCACGCACTCTTGGAGAGACATTTTTATTTATAACTCTGGTGGCAAAGCCAAGCCAAACAACACAGCCACACTCCAACAAAGCAGAGGGGAGCAGCATGATCAGCCCTCATCCCACTGCTGCTCCATGCAGTGGCAGGGGGCAGAGGGGCAGCCAGAGGTGCCACCCTCTGTTCTCCCCACCCAGAGACCCTGCCAGGTCTGTGGCTGCCTGTGGTGCTCTGCTTTTTTGCCTGCTCATGGTGGGAAAGCTTCATTTTTTTCTGCATAGATCTGCACCCAACTTAATGTTAGGGTTCTGCTTTTGATAGGTTAATCACCCACCTTACATCCCCATTATTAGCATTTCCCTGAGCGGGTTGCCATGGTGCTCTGCGGTTTATCCTGCACTGTTAGTTACTGAGATTTCCTAACAAATAACCGAAAATATCCTCCACTGGTTTGTGGTTGCTGATCAACATGGAACCCCGACTTTAGGAGATGGGCAAAACTGCTTAGGCATCAGTTTGGTGACTCCAAGCTGCACGTCCACTGCTCCTCTGTGCCAGGTTCTGCTGGCACGCACAGCACGGGCAGCCCTCCCCAAACGCTGGCCCTGGGGCCAGCCCCACACCCTCTGTGACCAGGGCGAGTGGCACCAGGCTGTTGGCAGCGTGTGCTGGGCCTGCTGATGTCCCCCTGCCCCTGCACCCCCCTTCCCTGGGGTGACCTGATGGCCGGGAGGAGCCCCCTCAGGCTGTGGAGAGGGGGACAACGGGGTGGTGACCCCAGCCGTGCTGGGAATGGACACTGGGATGGGTTTGGGAACAGGGATGTGGATGGGGATGTGGTCACGGGTGTAGATGTGGATGGAGACAGGGATGGGGATGGGAAACAGGGATGCAGATGGGGGATGAATGGGATGGGGATGGGAAACAGGGATGCAGATGGGAACGGGATAACGGATGTGGATGCAGATGCAGACGGGGACGGAGAAGCGGCGGCTCCCGGCCCGGAGCTGCAGCCGGTGTCCGCCGGGGCGGTGCCGGCGGCGCGGGGCGGGCGGGCGGCCCCGCTCCCCCCGCTGCGGTCTCGGTTCCCATGGTGACACTTCCTGTGGGAGCCGAAAGCGGTAGTGTGGTAGTGCCGGGAGCGCCGGGCCGGGCCGGGCCGGGAGAGCCGCGCCGCCGGCCGGGGATGCTGCGGGGCCGCGGGCCGCGCCCCTAGCGCGCCGGGCCGGGCCGGGCCGGGCCGAGCCAGGGATGCAGGGCAAGGGCAAGCTGCTGGTGGTCCACAACGGGCGCATGTCACGGGTGTAGATGTGGATGGAGACAGGGATGGGGATGGGAAACAGGGATGCAGATGGGGGATGAATGGGATGGGGATGGGAAACAGGGATGCAGATGGGAACGGGATAACGGATGTGGATGCAGATGCAGACGGGGACGGAGAAGCGGCGGCTCCCGGCCCGGAGCTGCAGCCGGTGTCCGCCGGGGCGGTGCCGGCGGCGCGGGGCGGGCGGGCGGCCCCGCTCCCCCCGCTGCGGTCTCGGTTCCCATGGTGACACTTCCTGTGGGAGCCGAAAGCGGTAGTGTGGTAGTGCCGGGAGCGCCGGGCCGGGCCGGGCCGGGAGAGCCGCGCCGCCGGCCGGGGATGCTGCGGGGCCGCGGGCCGCGCCCCTAGCGCGCCGGGCCGGGCCGGGCCGGGCCGGGCCGAGCCAGGGATGCAGGGCAAGGGCAAGCTGCTGGTGGTCCACAACGGGCGCATGGTGAGTGCCCGGGCCGCCGGTCCCCACCCGCGGGGCTGCCCCGGCCGGCGGCGCGGCGGGGAGCTCGGTACCGGGTGATGGGCGGGCAGGGCGGGCCGGGGGTGTGGAGCGGATAACGGGCACACAGGGATGTGTGGAGTCAGGAACCAGGCAGGTGGGAGGGTGTGGGCATCTGGGCAGGCAGGGCAGGATGGGTATCCAAAGCAGGCGGAGCTGTGGAGGGTTTTAGGGCAGGCAGCGGGGTCTGGGGCTGGGTAACGGGCACGTGTGGGGCCGGCTGTGAGCAGCGGGGGTTTGTGGGGCTTGGGCAGCATTGTAAGGACACGTGTGGCACTGGGTGATGGACGGGGATGGGGTCACAGCAGTCAGCAGTGCTGGTGTCTGAGGGGCTGTGTGGGTGTGGGCAGCGGGGATGGACGGGAGGAGCGCAGAGCTGGCAGGATAGAGGGATGTGGGGCTGGGGGAAGAGACACGGCAGAGGAATGTGGGGTGGGGTAGCAGGGAAAGGCAGGGCTGGGATAGCGGGCCTGGCATGGAGACAGTCGGGAGCTGTGTGGGGCTGGCAGGCTGGGGGGCACGGGGCGGCTGGGCCAGGGGAACCACTCGAATTTGGGCACCACTTCAGTGTGGCCCCGAGCAGGTGATGAGACACAGCACCGTGCAGCGAGTGTGTGGCTGGATTTTGGCTTCAGAGGCTCTGCCCATCTCCCTGCTTGGCTACTCCATCCTCAGGGCTGCTGTCTGGGGTGCCCAGCGGGTGCTGCAGGACATCCTGTCCTGCTGTGCCCATGGCTGGCAGCACCTGGTCCCTGCTTTTGGGCATCTGCCCTCCGGTAGCTCCAGGCTCCAGGGAAGGAGGGAACAGGCAGTTTGCCTACTTGGGGCTGTGGTTGTCCTTCCTTCCTTCCCTCCCCTCCTCCCCTCCTCTTCCTGTGCCGTGGAGGCTGCTTCTCTCCTCCCCTGTTGTTTGGGTGGCAGGGTTACATCTGATAGCAGCTGCCCTTTTCCAATTGCTGGCCTGGCCCTAGGCCGTGGAGAGGTAGGAGAAAGGCTGTACCCCTTTTGTAACTCTCTCCTCACTGCCCTGGGTTGGACGTCCTGTGTCCTGCCTCTGCCACAGGGCAGGTAACACCAGAGCAGGGTTTGCTGACAGTGTCTCTTGCTCTGGGCTTGCCCTGCACTCCACCAGGCCAGCAGATGCCATGTAACCCCTCTCACCTCTCTTCTTTCCACTCCCACAGGGCCCGGCCGTGTCGGACGGAGGTAAGGCTGCTCTTTGCCCTGGGACAGGAGGCCAGCATCATCTTCAGGGGAGGGGGAAGCCCACAGGCAGCCTGGTGCCAGGGGCAGGGAGCCAGCAGGCAGCGAGGTCCTGTGTCAGCACAGGCTGTGCCATGGGCAGGTGCAGGGCTGAGCCCTCTGCCCAGCGCTGGCCGTGTCCCCCCATCCCTCCCACATGGCCCCCGGTGCCTGCCCCTCCTTTTGGCTGCTCAGCTGGCACTTTGGGGTGCTGGGGGCTGAGTGGCTTCCAGGGGCAAGGAGAAGCTGGGTACCAGCCAGGCCCAGATTCTGTAAGGGAGTCTGTCTGTTGGTCTGACTGTGCACTGGATATCTCAGATGGTTTATTTAACTGTCTTGGCCCCAGTTACTCATGGTTTAGACCACCAGGAGGATAAGTAGGGGGAGCCTGGCAAAGGAGCAGCCTGACACACCTCATCTATTCCTGCCAGCTTTTCCAGGACAGCACTGCTTCTACACCCTTACCTTCTCTTGCAAATGACCCCCTGCTTCCAGCTGCACACCAGTCAAACCAGTTCCAAAGCTGGGGTTGCCCCTGGGAACTTCCATCTTTCTGAACACATAGTCACCCTGGGTTTCCCCGAGGTGGGGTTTCCTCAGGGTTGGGAGCTGGAAATGACATTTTCTGTGCCCTCCACATGTTGGAATTGTCCTCCCTCTTGGCCAGAGGAATAGAGAAAGTGGGTTCAGGCACCTCTGCCCATCCTCCAAGCTTCCCTCCACTCTGTGTGCCCTCTGTGTCCCCTTCCACTCCGCTTTCCCTGCTCGCTGGGTGCCCTCCCCATGGCTGTCTTACCCCAGGAGATGAGTCACAGGTGGAGTCACAGTGACACCCAGGGTGGGCACAACTGCCAGCACTGGCAGTGCCAGCTGTAGCATCCTGGTGCTCAATCCTCCAAGGATGCCACCGTGATGCTCCTCATGTTCCCTACCCAGCACTCACCAGGTCTGATCCAGATGGGGCAGATGGAGGGCTGTTGGTGCTGGTGGGTGAAATCAGGGGACAGGGAGACAACCAGGACTGACCCCTTTTCTCTCTCAGAGTTAAATGCCTCCCGGGCCCGTGGCAGCAACCACAGTGTGAACAGCCTGCCAGGCCCAGCAGCCACGTGTGGATCCAGCCAGGGCTCTGTGGTCAGCTGGGCTGAATCCTTCGAGACGCTGCTGCAGGACCGTGTGGCTGTCACCTACTTCACTGTGAGTGTCACAGCCCAGAGCTCAGCCCCTG